ATAAAACTAGTTATAGGTAATACTCCCATAATATCAGATAACGAAATTGCGAGTAGTTTCGAAAGCTATTTTTCAGACATTGCGGTTAATGTCACACGTACATTAAAATCATCTCCCGCAGACGCAATTAATGTTTTAAGAAATAATGTTACCCCTTGCCTACACACTTAAACTAGATACTTATGATATTATAAAAGTTTTGAATTCTATTAATCTTAAAAATACAGAGGATTTATGGGGTATGTCCATAAAATTAATGAGCACAATAATGCCATATATTGCACCACATTTGGCTTCTATTTTTAACAACTGCATAGATTCTGGAATATTTCCAGATCTTATGAAATTTAGTAAGATAATACCTGTCTACAAAAGTGGTGATAAAAATGATCCAGGCAACTATAGACCTATTTCCATATTGCCATCTCTTAGTAAAGTTTTTGAAAAGCTAATATTAAATCAACTTTTAGTTCATTTTAATGTGAACAAAATCTTTCACGATGAGCAATGTGGATTCACTAAAGGCAGATCGACAACAGATGCGGGCGTCGCACTTGTCAAACATATTTATAATGCCTGGGAAAGGTCACAAGATGCAATAGGTGTCTTTTGTGACCTTTCAAAAGCCTTCGACTGCGTAGACCATAAAACTCTCCTTCAAAAGCTAGAATATTATGGCATTCGTGGCATCGCCCTCAATCTCATTGCCTCTTACCTTAGTAATAGAATTCAAAAAGTATCTATAAATGATGTTAATTCCGCTGGATCCCAGATGAAAATGGGAGTCCCACAAGGATCAATCTTGGGCCCATTATTATTTTTAGTATATATTAATGATCTCCCCTTTTATGCCAGTGGGTTGTGTGATGTTGTACTGTTTGCTGACGATACATCGCTTATTTTTAAAGTTGACCGAAACGTATTAAATTATGACGACGTGAATAGTGCACTTTCACATATCCTCCACTGGTTTACTATTAATAATATGGTATTAAATGCCAAAAAAACCAGATGTATTCTTTTTACCCTTCCCAGTATAAGAAGGAAAAGTTTTAGTTTAATATTAAATAACGTACCCATTAATCCAGTTGAGTCTGCTATATTTCTGGGAATTACAGTAGATTCAAAGCTCCAGTGGAGTCCCCATATATCATCTCTTGCGAATAGGCTCCGCGGTTTTTGCGATTAGAAGGGTTAGGCAGCTAACAGACATCGACACTGCCAGACTTGTTTATTTTAGTTATTTTCACAGCATCTTCTCTTACGGCATTTTGTTGTGGGGTAGTGCATCAGATATAAATTCTATATTTATTCTTCAAAAAAGAGCTGTCCGAGAAATCTACAATATCGGAGCCCGGAATTCACTCAGAGATCTTTTCAAAGAGGTTAATATACTCACTGTTGCTTGTCAATACATTTATTGTACTGTTTTGTATATACGTCATAACCTTAATTATTACCTAAAGAATAGTGACAGACATAAAATAAACACTAGAAATAAGGACAAACTTACTACGCCATTGTTTCGTCTACAAAAAGTAAATAAGTCGTTCATGGGGCAAAGTGTGCGCATGTATAATAAAATCCCACAGTCGATATTAAGTCTGCCGCTTGACCAATTTAAATGTAAAATTAAAAATCAACTGATGATTAAAGCATATTATACCATTTCGGAATATCTCGACGACGCCAATGTGTGGAGTTAATACTGTTGATACTCACGTAGGCTAGAATAAGACTATTATACCTGTATATTATATTGTACCCTGATATTTTTGAAAAAGAGCAACTGTTGAGTTTCTTGCCGGTCTCTTCTCAACAGAAACCGCTTTCCGAACCGGTGGTACCTTACGAACCTATACACATAATGTTTGATGTAAAATTTGACGATTCATAAGAGCGCGCAAGCGTCTATTTGAATAAATATATTTTTTGATTTTGATTTTGATTGTGTATGCTGGATGGTAAGGATATAACAATAGATGAGCCAAGCATTGCTTCAAATGCTAAAAAGTATTGTAGATAAAAGACGTTAAGATTTTCCTCGGTGTGGCAATCAGCGGTTTAGCTTAGTGGCTAAAGCGTCAGACCGCTAATGCCGAAGACGTGGGTTCGATTCCCACAGCGGCCACAATCTTTTCGTACTTTTTCTACAATTTTTAATTTTTTATCTTAAGTGCAGAGATTAGCACTATAAAATTTTTAAACATAAAAGTCGAAAACCAAGTAACATCGAACAAAAAAAATTGTTACGTTTTTTTTTGTATAACTGATGTTACGCTTTCAGTCCTTAGACTATTAAAGCTTCAACACACGGGTTTGAGTCCCTCCTTTGTGGGTAAATTATGGTGGTACGTGCGTTAGTTATGGCATGTCCTACGGGCCATCGAGGTTCGGTGCGGACCGTGACCCCAATGGCCGTTGACTGGCTTGGTTAGTCGGTGGCTAGGGGCGGTGAGAACCGCCCTGGAACGCGGGCGTACCTAGTGTACGCATTGTGTTGGTTTCGCTGTGCCCGAAGGCGAAGATGAACTATGGTGTTGGTTGATGCACTGAGTGTGTATTGTTATTTGGCGGGATCGACATTTTCGTGATATGTTCCTCTGGGTACGTTAGACTTCATAATTTCATGTTTCTCCGGCAACTTGCACGACTTTCCAAGCCTGTTTCTCTGGTTCCAAGACAATAAATTCTTTCGTTGGTCAAGTAATGTAGCAGAGGAATATTCGTATAAAAATTGTCAAAATAAGTTATATGATTGACGTGCCTTGATACTGGTCGTAACAATCGAATAACTGTATTCGATGCAGCTCCGAGGTCTGGTTCGCCAGGTAAACGGTCTATGTCCTTAGCTCCTGAGTAAATCTCAAAACTGTAGGCATACCCAGACAGAGAGCATAAAACGTATAATTTGAATCCCCACTTATTGGGCTTGTTGGGTAAATATTGTTTCATAAAATGTTTAATTTTAGTGGAACACATTTGCTCGTCTAGTGATAGACGATGCTCAAATGGTACAGTAATAAATTTCTTGTTCAAATAGTCTATCACTGGTCTTACCTTATGCAGTCGGTCGTGCTGTGGATGATCAATGGGCAAATGTTTAGACGTCATTCATGTGAAAAATTTGTCTAATTTTATCAAATCTGTTGCGATTCATTGTTTGTGCTATGAGTTCAAACTTTGTAATGTTTGACCAGTATGATCTGACACTAGGATAATGATATACATTAGTAAAAATAAGAATTCCAATAAATTTACGTAATTCTAAGACAGTTACAGGTTCTGTAACGTTGGGATTCTTTTGGAAGGCATATTTATTTGACTCGTCTACTAGAAATTTCAAAATTTCTTCACCGAAAAAATAAAAAAAAACTGAAAAGGAGTGTCTAAGTTCATAATTTCTCAAATAGTCAGTGTTTTCAGCAAACTGGAAAGCGTTTTCGACTATGTACACATTCTTTACTCTCCACACTAAGTTTCTACAGTTGAAGGGTGCAGTTTGGGGGGTGTTTGTTGTTCTGGCTGCTGGTGGTAGGAGTTGGGCTTCGTTCAACAGTCTCTAAATTATTTTGCATGTCGGTATCTACGTTTGCTGCAGGCGGATCTGCATCCAAGTCTGAGTCAGTGGGAAAATTACCTACATCCTCTTCATCTTCTAGCTCCATCAGACGATCTCTTTGACTCGAAGAATAGTCTATGTCATCTTCATTGTCGGTGGAATCGTCTTCCGAAATTTCACCATTTTCTAACCGCTTCAATATGCTCTCAATCTCTTCTGGTCGCATTTTTGATTAATTTCTATAATAAAATAAAAATAAAAGTAATCCCAACACCAAGCCATGCAGAAAAAAAATGAAACGGAAGTTCATAAACTTTTTATAGCTATAGAATTAGTAGGTAGGTTTTATGTAGGGTGGAATGCCTGAAGTATCAAAATTGATACTCACAAAAATAGCACTATTTTCTTCAAGTAAAACATGCACTCGCAAAAAATAATTACATCTTAGCAAAAATAATATATTCACTTACCTCAAAAGTATTTATATTCGGTAAATGTAAATAACTTTAACTCTGGCGTAATTCAATTAAAATAAATTTTAAACGATAGAGAAAAATCACTAATGAATTTATCATATCAACAAGCAGAATTCATTAGAGATTTTTCTCTATCGTTTAAAATTTATTTTAATTGAATTACGCCAGAGTTAAAGTTATTTACATTTGCCTTATATTCTTCAGAAAAAGAAAATATATCAAATTTATATTCAACAAAACTTTTAGTAAAATGCGTTTACTTATTCAATTTGCCGCGCAAGTAATATGTGTAAAATAAAACAATAATGACATTTGATTTTTTTTTTTTTAATTTCGTTGGTAATAACAATACAACAGTAAAATACGTACAGCCAACCTATAAAAAAAAAAGCTAATAGTAAGGTGAAAATTCGGTTTAAAAGATTGGTATCAAAATCGAAACTAGGTTATTACGGGTTAATAATACTGATAACAACGTTTTGTACTTATTTATCAGGTTTTTTTTTTAATTTCACAATGACACCCGAGAGCCTCTCGCCTTTTAACTCTTTAATTCGCCTTTATTTTAATAAAATTACTTCAATCCAGAAAAAGGGAAAACTTTTCTCTATTCCGTGGAATCGGTTATTGACTTTTAATATTGAGTGTGTATTGTGGGCTGCAGGGTCACGTTATTTTTAGGCTTGGAAACACGGTCCTGATTACTTGACATAATGTGACAAAGTGACAATTGAATTGACTTGACTTGACATTGACTCATGTAAGTTATTCAAGGTCGGTAGTTGTGTGATGCAATGTTACAAAATTAATAAAAAATTATATAATTAAATACTAAATTATAGACAGGTAATTATTGTTAAAAATTCTTAACAAGAAGATCGCAATCAGGAAAATTGTATAATGTTAATAGTAAAATTTGAAATTATTACTGCTTAATCTAAATTTTTTGTTTTAGATCAATAATGGCCAACTCGCAGCAAATTTTTGATTACAAAGATGAGTCTCAAACAGAGAGGTTAGCCAGAAAATCGAAAGACTCGCCTTTTATGATAATAGGTATTATTTTTATTTTATGTTTAATTTCATTCATGTTCATTAATGACTAAAACTGCACACATTAAAAATGAATAATTACTCTAATTTCCTACACATTATCCACACGCTGTTATTCTACAAGAAAGCTTATGTACTACATTCATTCTAAAATTTATTGTATTTTCCTTGGTTTATATAAAATAAAGCATGTTTTTTATGTGAAACATACAGAGCAGGAAAATTAACCACAATCAAAGGTTTCATTAAGGTACCTCGTAGGTTAAATAATATGTTCTTTTCATGCTATTAAGCTATGACCAATGATATTCAAATATTTTTATTAATGAAACTATGTTGACTGATTCCGTATTGCAGACTTGAATGATAACAGCTTGTGTTTAAATTTCTTGAGTATTGAACTATTAAAAACATTGGAATATCTTTATTGGTATTGTATACAATAATAACTACTGCATTTTATCTGTAAAAACATGATATTCAATGTCATTACTTGGTGTATTACACAACATTTATTATATTTCATATTACAGGCATTATGGGCTTGATTGGAGTTTGTGGATATGGAGCATACCAATATAAGAATAAAGGAAAAATGAGCACAAGTGTGTTCCTCATGCAACTTAGGGTGGCAGCACAGGGCACTGTTGTTACAGCATTGACAATAGGCTTAGCCTATAATTTAGCAAAGAAACATTTATTTAAGGATGGAAAAGATTAACCTTGTTGATATTTTGTTAGTAAAGTTGCTTAAAATAGTCATTAGTAGCACTCTACTACCTCAAAAATAATCTCACAAAATGTTTTGACATTGCTGTAAAAAATCTCTTTCAAAATCTCACATTATATTTTTGCAATTGAATTTTAAATTTTTAGTATTATTAAGAGTTAAGCTCTGATTCTGTGATGACTTACACTAAAGTAAATAACAAGATTGAGCATATTGCTTGTTTTCTTATTATTAAGGATTGGACATGTTCAGTTTGTTGTTTTGTGATTTGTAGTCTTATGCAAATTAATTATAAGTACCAACATATTTATTAAATCATTGATGCTGTGAGTAGAGTATTTCATTGTTTTGTTCATATTATTACTCATTCATTTGAGTTCATATTATACTATTTATACTAATTTGGGAGTATTTTAAATGACAACACCAATTGACTTGTATACAGGTGGGACTTTTTGGCGGGAAGTCAAATAAGGCATGCACTTTTTAACTTTCCTCCTAAAATTATTATAATTTATTGGCTTTCTCTTTAACTTTTCTTGGGAAAAAATCTTTCAACATACGATGGGTCCCCCTAGCGATGGGGAGGGCACCAAAAAGCAAAAATTATGCACAGTAATACCGGTAATATGTTAAGCAACACTGATAAGTATAAAGTTTATACTAAAAACAACTATAAAAGGCAATTTATCGAAAACCACTTTGGAAAATGCACTGTATAGGTAGAATCGACTCAACAGGAAAAACTAGGAATCAAAAACCCTTTAAGTATTACCAAATTAATCACCGAAAGTATCAAAGGAATCTCTGGCTGTTAAATAAAGAAAATAGGTGCTACTTTTAAGAAACCATCCAAGGCAAATTCTTTTATTATAATGGAAGACTTCCTGGCCAAACATAAAATACGCGCTCTCGTCCCAGCTTATTTAACAGAGACAATTGGCATTTTAAAATATGTCCCCAAAGAGTTCTCCAATGAGGAAATTTATAAAAATATTACTTGTGATGCTGAAGTAATGTCAGTAAAATGTTTCATGAAAAAGACTAATGACGGCCTTATCCCATTGACCACTGTAGTGGTAACTTTTGCGACATTGCTGCCTGGATATGCATATATACAATTATATCGATATTGGGTTCACCAATACATACCACCTGTTCTACAATGTTACAAATGTTTGAGATACAACCACTCAGCCAAGGTTTGCCAAGGCAATCAAACTTGCTCTTCCTGTGCTGGACAACATTCATTCATACAAAGAGTGTGACGTTGAGGAAATTGTTTATGTAAATTGTAATGGTAACCACTTAGCTATTTCCAGAGACTGCCCTATCAAAATGAAGAAAAGAAAGAAAAAATACTCATAGCAATCTTACGCCACTGTGCTGAGTGTGACACCCCCAGTCAATGAAAATACTTACCCCGAACTTGTCTATAAAAATCAGAAATCTAATGAATTTGACATTAATCAGATATCACTAGTTAAATGATTAGTAGCTTTAGGTAATAGAAAGGAACAAACCCCCTTAAATTCTAAGAAAATTAAAGAAATATTTATTTCACTTTTGGTTTAATGGATACTTATTTACAAATAGTTCAATTTAATATGCATTTCCAATATTCTTCAATCAACATCAACTGTAAATATTACAGTTGAATCACTTGCCACTGCTCCCGAAATTATAGCAATATACACTTAAGTATGTCAAGAATAACTTGCAAAACAGACATGAAAGTGATATTTGGCCAGTTTATAAATGACCTTTAAATGGACTCATTAATGTAAACACTGAAACAGTTTACTTAGATGATATATTAAATAAAAATGACTAAGCAATTTAAAGATAAGAAATCTCATAGCTATTTTATTTACACAGATGGCTCTAAAAATGAATATAATGTAAAGGCAGCTTTTTATGACCCACAAGCAAGTCATACTTTGACCATCCAATTAAATTCTCAGTGCAGTATTTTTACAGCTGAATGTTATGCATTATATCAGGCATTAGTTTATGTAACTAGGAAGTTATTTAAATAGTGTAAATATAATAATAGTAACTAATTCTAAAAGTGTATGAGTAGCGCTTTTAAAGGGGCTCTTATGTTTTAAAAGTAATTACATTTTCTATAATATTGTAAATTTAATAGAACACCTTAGAAATAAGAACATTAATGTGGCTTTCTGTTGGGTTCCTTCACACCACCGTGTGCGTGTTCACGCCACTTCTGTGACACTGCATAGAAGGCAAAGAAATAGTAGATAGTCTCACACATACAGATCCTGATGAAAACAAGAAAACTCTTTCTAGATCAGCTGTTAACACATTTTAACAGCTGATCTAGATTAATTATTAATTATTACATCACAACCAGTTTGGTTTTACAAGGGGTCGTTCTACAACCAATGCTGGTGTAGAGCTGATCAAACATATATTTGAGGCTTGGGAGAGTTCACAGGATGCTCTGGGTGTCTTTTGTGATCTTTCCAAGGCTTTCGATTGCGTGAATCATGAAACACTGATCAGGAAATTGCGCCATTATGGCATTAAAAGTACCGCGCTTGATTAAGTCATATCTATCCAATAGAATTCAAAAAGTTGTAATTAATGGTGCTAATTCTTCTGGGTCGACGGTATCTATGGGCGTTCCGCAGGGCTCGATTCTCTGCCCATTTCTCTTTCTTATTTACCTGATTAAATAAATAATTTTTATATTACTTCAATTTCTATTTTTAATGAAATTTTTAATTTAATCAGGTAATTTTGTTTGGTAATGTTTTAATTTTACCTAAATAGTAGAAAAAATCGTGATTCAGTAAGTTTTTAAATTTATTCAATTTTAGTGGGTTTTCTAATTTATTTTGGAGTATTCTTTTTGAAGAGTTGGTATCACTGATAATGGTAATAGTAATTTCATTCATCTTATATTATCCACTCCGTTAATGTTTATTATATACATAAATATACTATATTAAATACATAAATACCAATAATATATACATAAAATATTTTTTTTTTTTAGAATTCAAGGTGGATACGGGACCGTAAAATTAAATCTCAATTAAAAAAAAACTGATTGCTAAGAAAACATCTAAATATTCCAATTCCAACCAATGGTTCAATTCGTTTGATTCGACCGAGTCTCCAAAAGGAGACCTGAACGTAACTAATACCTATAGGTATTTTGATACTGGGTTTTAGCACCGGGTATACGGCGATACCCGTACCTTTGAGGCTGGTATAGAATGTTGCAGGTATAGTCTTTTTCATGAAAGAAGTTCCGCGGTGATTTTTGGAACTAAATTTGACAGGTCGGCCATGTTGTCGTTCGTCGATGTTATCAAGTTCGTTTGTTGTGGTAGATTTATGAGAGTTTTAAACTAGCTTAGTGCATTTTAAAGATTGTTTACAATGCCAAAAGTTGTAAAAAGTTCGGCTCGAGAAATGATATTGAAGGTGAAAGAATTCTGTGAAGCTGAACAAAAGAATCAAGGTGTTTTAATACCACTGAACAATGTTCGGAAGAGAGTCGCCGCCATAACAGGTACTTGCCATATAATAATTTTTTGCTGTATTGATGGGACTTTTATGATATAAATTCGTTTTGCGACAAAATTGAATACATAACGTGATGAAATTAGGTAACCGAAATTAAAACGTATATTACATAGTACATAAGCATTATAAACTTAGTGACTATTATTTTTAATTGTTCATTCTTTAATTGCAGGTGTGTCAGAGAAAACTATAACAAGAATTACAAAAGAAGGTATAACAGCGGCGAGTACTTCGAAAAAAATTGTCACCCCGGGGAAGAGTCGCCCGCATCCGAAAAAGTTCGACTTAGACGGGTTCGATTTGTGCGCTATCCGGCAAAAAATTCACAGTTTTTACGTTGTGCATAAAGAATTACCAACTTTGGCTAAATTACGAGCAGCTCTTAGAGAAGACATCAATTTTCAGGGAAGCATCACAACATTGCACAGGATATTAAATAGGATTGGTTTCAAGTACAAGCGATGTCAATCCAGAAGCAAACTACTTATGGAACGTCACGACATTACCGCATGGCGTGCAAGATATTTGGATAAAATACGAATAAATCGCACTGTGGAAAAACGACCCGTTGTATACTTAGATGAGACCTATATACACAATACTTATCATACAAAAAGTTGTTGGCAGAGTGAGGAGGAGCCAGGAATGTTCGTCTCAGAGTCATCAGGGAGTCGCTGGATAATCGCTCATGCGGGAACAAAAGATGGATGCATAAATGGTGCATTATTAATGTTTAAATCCCAATCAAAGTCCTCAGATTACCACGATGACATGAACTCTGCAAATTTCTTAAAATGGGTGACGGAAAAATTAATACCTAATCTACCTGAAAGGTCGCTTGTGGTAATGGACAACGCTCCTTACCATTGCACTCAATTAAACAAAGCCCCTTCAATGTCAAATATAAAAAGTAGTATGCAGGAATGGCTCCGGCAAAATGTGTGGTGGAGAAAATCTGGAGCCTTGTAAAAAGAAAGGTGGCGGATAAGAATGTGGCACAAGATCCAAAAGAAATTGTAAAATTAACTGTAGAGGCATTTGAGTCTATTACGGCGGAAGATTGGACAGCTCAGTGCACGCATGTCGAACATTTAGAGGAGGAATATTTAAAAAATGACGGCCTTATTGATGAAGAGATGGACCGAATAATTATATCTACGGCTAGTGATACTGAAACAGAATCTGATTCAGTTTCCATCCACTCTTCAGACAGTGATGTTCCTATGGCCATTGATCACAATTATTCAATAAAACTCTGAATAAAAAATTGTAATGCTTTGCTTTACCCTATTTTCTCATCTTTTCCCTGTAAGTAGGTAGATCACCGCTTCTAAAAGTAAATAAAAATATACTTTTTACATAACAGTAATATAGTAAATTATGTAAATGGACATTTTTATCAAAATTTGTTTAAGTAAACTTAAACTAGGAAATGTGACATCCCACGTTTCCCAGTACTGATCATGACCAAAAATCGTCAGCTTTTATTGCTGTTTTTAGTTTCTCACCGAATCTATTTAATAATAACACGACACTTACATAGTCATAATAACGTTAGTTAATTGCATGAGTGGGTTGGTAGACATTTTGATAAAAATGCCCAAATATACATTTCACTTATCAGAAATATACAGTATTGGCTTGAGTAATGAAATTACAGCCTATCTAAAATGTATTTATTTCTTAATACAATTTAATAGTTTCGTCGAAGTCTGCAGGAAATAATATTATTTGATAAATTACATATGCTAAATAGGTAAATTTTTACTCATAAATGGCAACACTATGTCACGCGAGTACAGCGCTGCGTCTGGGGGACTTCTTTCTTTCATGAAAAGGACTTCCTCTCATTCCTACCGGAAGCACCAACCTAAGCCCACGCAATTTTTGGTGCACCGGTTTCGCGACATGAAAATGCTCTAATCTCTATAATCTAACTTCTATTATACTAGTCTCTATGTCCTAAGCTCGTATATGTTTTCGTTTACGATTCTCAGAAAGGTGACAATCATACTGATTAGTATGTTATCCGCGATATGCGATATTCATTCAAAGAAAACTTTACCGAATTATTTTATTGGATTGCACATAACACTATTGTAATAAATTCCAATAAATAAAATGATTTATTTATAACATACATAACATATAAATCTTGTAACAGTATTAATATGTCAAAACTAAACTAGGACATGCAATAATACAAACATTTTTACAAAATCAATAATTATCACTTTTACTACAGTCTGAATGCGCTTTAGACGCTCTTAATATGTAATTTGGAATGGTTAAATCATCCTTATCGGATGTGGAATGGTTTCTAACAGAATTTGAAGTAACTTTTACGGATGAGAGATCGTCGGCATTGCTAAACAAGCCATTCGAAGTATTTGTACTTGAACTAGAGTGGTACGTCATTGATCGAAAAATTTGTACTGGGGTAGAAGTCCGGGCCCTATTGTTATTATTAGAACAATTTGCTGATTGGTCTTCTTCATGTGTCTTTTGTTTCATTTCATCCGGCATTTTAGTTTCATACAAAGAAACAAACTCTTGATCTGTTTTATCTCCTGCAGATTTTTTTATAAAAGTGATTTTCTTTGCAAGCTCATTTGTTAGAAATTCTTTAACTGTCATAGAATTTGGCAAAGATGTTTGTTGTTCGGCGTTTTTAGAAACTTCGCTTTCGTTTTGGTTTTTCAATGGCGATTTGTCAACGGATTTTAGTACTGCAACAGGCTCACAAGTTGTGAATGGATAATTAATATTTTTATTCCTAAACTGAATCCCGCTGGAACTTGATGTGTTTGAAGACGACGACAAAGCAAGGCGTTCTTTAGTTTTCTTAAGCGTTGACGAAGCCCAACCCATGCCAAGTTTCTGAAAAGCGTGTTCTAAATCTGGATTTGACGAAATACTCAATGTATTGTCTGATAATTCAGATGTATATTTTTTGTTTTGAAATATAGCTTTTTTTCTTTCTTTTCTTGAATTAGATAAAGCTAAGAGAGAAATGGTAGACTCCGAAGATATGGTACTTGTATTAACATTAGATGCCGTATCATATTTGAACGGCTCGTTGATAATTTTTCGCTTTAGTAATTCTGCGATAACATCTGGTAAACTATTCTCAGAATGTAAAGAGCTCAGATCTTCATTTGTCAAAGTATCTTTTAAATGAACATCAACAGTGGAAGCTTCATCGAGGGTTTCTATGTTTTTCTTTTTTGCATACTCTTGAATACTAATAAATGGTTTAAGCATTATTTCATTAAACTGTTTTAAATCCATCATCACAACCTTGGAATCGTTAGAAGGATCCTTTTGTTTATATGTATTTGTAGCAGCTAAGCCTGTATTAAATCGTTCCTTTACAGGTGTCGGAGGCGGTACTATTACATGACCATTCAAAAGATCCTCATTTTCTGGCATTCTCTCAACGCTTTCGATCGAATTTTTAGAAACGTCAGCATTAATATCGATTCTTGATCTACTTTTAAGTTTTAAGCTCATAGGAGAATCTACTTCCAGTACAGTAGACAATTCATGAGGAATAATTTGTTCTATCTCGTTTTTTAGATGAATACGAGACAAAGCAGGTGGCGGTTTCCCTCTTAACTTGAAATTTTCCATTACACTTTTACCAATTTCTTTACTCGGAGAAACTGATTTATTAGTAACAGCTGACAAAGGTGCTTCAAAGTTGAATGGTTTTGCAATATTGGCCAGTACTGGTATAAATGTGTCTTTAAACTCTGTCATTGTATCAGTTTTTTCCATTTCCGTCTTCCGAAGAAATAGTCAAGGAAGACACTTTATTAAACGGGTTTTTGAAATCTGGATAATCAAGAAGTGGCGATCTATTTTTAGTAACGTTTTTGTTTCGTTCCAAATCAGAATCTGATGTCGAGTCCGATGATGTAATATGAGTGTAAGCTAATGATTTATTTCTCCTTACTTCTTCTAGCACCTTGGCAAGGTTTGATAAGCGCTTAGTACATTTTTCTGTTAAATCTGCAATTTTTTCCATATTTTGTAGCTTTCCTTCAGCTACTTTCATGAAATTATTTTCGCTTTCTAAAGTCCCGCTTATCTGTGTAGATATGTGAGCTGGCGGCGTATGCTCGCGTTTTTTATGGTTACTATTACTTGAACTTCGAACATTCTCTGAATCTGTTGAAAACGGGGTTGTAACTAATCGATGACAATCAAGGTCAGATTCAAATCTTTTACGTTTTGATTCTGTACCAGGCTTTTGAGGGGGGTCGGAACTTTTCCAGTTATACTTTTGCTTATTACAAATAGAAATGTCTTGTTGACCACTTATATCATTTTTAAAAGACGATGATGTTGAGGTTGGTTCATGTGAGTGGACTTCATGATTATATTTTTCACAATTACTCATCTTACTGGTTTTTGACAATTTTCTGGATATATTTAATGATTTCACTTTATGTATTTGTTTTCTTTTGCTTACTAATTTTGGGCGAATTTTTAAGTTCTTGAGCATTAGATCCTTATCATATTGTTTAGAATCCTTTTTATGGATTTCATTGCCATTCATTCGATAATCGCAGATAATTTTTTGCTTTAGTATGTTTTTAATTTGCTCCAGGGAGATTTTCTTTGGGTCTGATAGTTTATTTACATTTAAAGTATTGTTGACAATGGAACTGCCAGGTGTTGGTACTGAGCTGCAATCTTGGTTAATTATTTCTACAGCCTTCATGCCTTCCTTATTGAGTTCTAAAAGCTTATTAACATACTCCTTTATGATAGGATTTAAAGCAGTTTTAGAATTTTCTTTGGAATGTTTAATTTTTTGTAAGTTTTTATTCAATGGTATTTTCAGTTCATGTAAAGGATTTTTCTTATCTTTAGTTACAATGACTTTACCACTGTTAAATTCTTTATCTTTTCTGCTATCATTTTGACACTTTCTGCATGTATGTTTTTTAACACCAAAACTTGCTGCTTTAACATATTTATTGATATAATCGCTTTGCTGTCCAGTAGTGCTGGTAGAAATCTGTGTACCATTTGTCTTTTTACACTTATTTAATGTTTTGGTTTGATGTGATAACCTTTTTCTGATATTGCGATGATGTTTGCATACACACTGTTCTCGTGGAAAATTTTGAAGTTCATTGTATGCAGTAGAGTCGCATGTCTCGTCGTATGATAAGTGATAGTCCCGTTTAAGAAATTGAGGCATAATAAGTTCTGGAGGGCTCATGTACGCAGTAGATGTTGAAGAGCTCATATGCATGAATATGGGCCGCTGAATTGGAGAACTTGTAGTTTGCGTGTATGTAGAAGTCGCTTGCTTGAGAGCTGCGGATAGCTGAGGGCTTACATTATCGACTGCTTTGTTTATGCAATTCTCTTCCTGACGGCTCTTTGTTAACAGCGGCTGTGATTCAATTATCGTATCATTGGATTTTGGGGGGCATGTCGGTGCTGGAGATTGACCGTCTGGATTAATATCGTCAGATTGTCTATTTACGCATTCGGATGTTTTATTCGTAGCGTTATCTGTTTGGACCAATACATCTGACTTTTGCAATGGTAAATTTATATCAGTTTCCTTTACGGAGTTCGAAAATTTATCTTGTTCCCTGTTATGATCTGCATCTTTCGCGTTAAATTCTTTCTTTCTAAGCTGTATAACAACTTCGTAGGCTTCGTTTCGAAGATAACCCGTGGTGCCAACGTAAAACTTTCCGTTATCTTGGCTGCCTTCATCTATTAATTTAATACAAGCACCATCAGATTCAACTATGTTGACTTTGTTTACATCTTGTTTAAATGATGATGTGGATGTTGCAGCAGAAGGATTTTGAACCGTTTGAACTTCTGGTCTATTTATGTTTTTCAAACAAATACAATTTTGAGCAGGCCTGAAATAACAACCAGTTATGTTTTAGTTAGACAAATTTAATGAAAATGAAATAAAAGGATAAACTTTAGGAATATTATAGTTTAGAACAGTACACTAGAATTGTAAGTACAGAAAACTAAAAAATATTCACCTGTCATAATTAAGAATGTGAGGTGGATCAACCTTGGTATCAGCACCTGACATAAGAACAATAATTTACTTTTAGTAAATATATTACATTATCATGCAAAAGCAAAAACAGTTCATCATGTTTAGTTTTTGTGTTCTTTAAACATTTAAAATATAATAAAAAATTTTAATACAATAACATTCTATATACAATAATTTATATAGAATGTTATTGTATTAATTTATTTATTATTCATACTGGCTCCACAGAACTAACATGTCCTTTAAGTTTGCGGACGCAATTTAAAACTATATAGATGTCAGAATTTCTGCAAATGATTCACACCATACAAAAAAATATTAAAAATATACTACCTTTAGTTTCTTGTTTAGAACAATGGCAACATTCATGCCCAAAGTTATTATTTTTATTAAAATATTCGCCTTCTAGTGTTACTGGATTATCAGAAAACTGCAATGAGGCCATATTATCCCTATGAAAAAAATTTCATTTAAGTCTAACTCTTTGTAAAAAGCGATGTAATTATAGTAAATGTACATATTACATGCTACTTTATGATTTTAATGGCAAATTATGAACAAAAATTATTCAAATTATAGCTAGATTGTAGTAAAATTATTATATTTAACTAGGTCTATCAATTTTTTTACTAAATGTGACAATACTTTCATGAATAATTTACCACCATGGTTTTCTTTCAGTTGCAAAATACCATTCTTCAATATTAGTGGTGCAAAAATTGACTTCATCACAAATCTGCCTGAAGGAGTTTCAAGGATTATTATAAGAAAGGAAAATAATCTAGATAAATAAAAACTTACCCATTTTTCTTCACCGTCCTATAGATTCCTGAAATAAATAAATAAAAATATGAAATGGACTAACAACTGAGCCTCACAGTAAAATAAATATTAAAGGAAGGAAAGCAATAAAAATGGATTCCTTAGGTAAATAAAAAATTGTATGCATAAATTTATTATAATTTTTTTTAAATGAGAATGATTTCTGTTACCCTCTTTCATCTGTTCAAATGATGCTTTATTGATATTATTGTCGCTTTTGCCTGTAGGTTGTTCGGTTTGGTTGGTAACATCATTAATATCCTTATTTTCAACTACCTTATGAGTGGCTTCAATGGTTTTACTATTTTTATCTGCCAAGGTAGATTTCTTGCGAAATTTCTTTCGCTTGTCATATTTGGAGTTAAGAATTTTGTAAATAATAATCCTATCATTTTCTGATGTCTTGGAATCATATTCCTCTAAACCTTTGTCTATTTTCTCTCTTCTGTTAAGATCTATGTCCAAAGAACTAGTATCGGAAGTAATTGAAGTGCAATCTGTTGATTCATTTCCATTTTGTTCAATGAGCACAGTCTCTATATACCTACTCTTAGGTAGTTTTGATTCATTAGGAATGTCTTTAGTAGGTGGAGTATGTTTGTGACTTGATCTGTATTCATGGTAGTCATTGTCATCACTAAATTTAACAGTATTGCCATGTTTGACTTCTTTAAGTGTTGTAGGTATATTGTGAATTGCCAGGTTTCTTTCCTTCTCTGGTACTGGCATCCATGAGTATTGCATTTTTTTCTCATTTAAGTCTTTAACTTCATGATTTGGTCTACATGGCAAGTGAGATTTTGTATGCTGGAAAGTACAACTAAGGTTTAAATGTTATCGCTAGCCCTTAAGATTTTTAAGACTTGTACATGAAATGTTGTAAAATAAGCAAGTGGTTTACCTAAACTTTAGAGGTTATCACAGCTAATAATATCTACAACACCTGAAGGGTTGCAGATGCGTTTAGATGTGGATAAAAGTTGATCATGGCAAAATTGAGCTAATCAATAAATAATGAAAAGTTATGATCTTTAGATATACTCAGGGCGCCACGTGCGAAATGTGGGCGAAACCGAGGATATTGTGGATAATAGGGAACATATATAATTGAACTAAGCCCATGGATAAGTAATTCCTGTTTATACCCATACCTGTATTAAAGTTTTGAATAAAATAATGATCATACAAAAATTACCTTACACCTGTGTTTCCTGCATTCTTTTTCTATATTTTTATATTCTTGGTGTAATTTCCTTTCATGGTCATCTTTTACCTGCTGCTGACGCTTTTCATCCATATATACAGTTTTCTGGTAACAAAATAGATTAATCAGAATACAAACATTCTAATATCAATTCTGGAAATGGGGATACACCAGATTATAATAGTTTAAAAAACAATACAGAGTAATAACTGAACGTTTATCATGATGTATTCATTTTTTTACATACATATTGCAACTTTACTCTTAATCATTAAACCAAGACCTATGCAAAGTTGGCCATACTTTTTACGTATGTACTGTTAATTGATAATAATTTTTGTGAATAAAATTAAAACCAACATATTAAATAGAATAGTGTATTATATTACGTGGCCACCTCAGTCATGTGATATGACTTATTTTTTTATGACTTTTTTTTAAATTTTAAATTGTGTTTCTTTTCATGATGTGCAAAAAAAGAAAGTTGCTAATGTTTATTCATACTAAGAATATTGGCTTCACCATTTTAAAAATTCCATTTTCTCTCTGAGCTTTACATTTAAGAGCCTTTGCAATAGTAGTCTTCATTATATTAATGGATATCACCAACTTTTTTATGTTATGTATTAGAAAATGTGTGTGAGAAGAAAATAGTTACTTTAGTTATTTATCCTCTTTTGTATTTATGTAGTACATACTCTATCAGCTAATAAAAACAGGAACTTGCATGCTTATATTTTAAAAATTGATGCACTTACATTAGTTTTACTAGACATGTCTTTTGGTAATGAATTCAAAAATGCCAGTGTGTCTCTATACTCCATATCAACATTTTCTTTAGTCATTGCAACCTTGCTTCGTCTTTCAGCTATTTTATGCTGTAGTTCCATTTGTTTTAAACTACCATGTGTCTCTTGCTTTTGGGCATTCGAAAATGCATCATCTTCAGTATTTAGATCCCGTATTACTAAGTTTTCATCATTACAAGGTATAGTCTTAATGTCTCGTGTCAAATGGTTATACATTGTAATTGATCCTTTACGTAAGCTTTCTGAATTGTTTGTTTTTTCCGAGTTTTCTTTGTTACTTTCCTGAACTAAAGAGTACCATATTGTTAACAATAAAAATGAGACATTACTATGCTAATTTGATTGATGAAAATTGTTTAACTATACAATAAAAAATTATCTCTAATACTCTGTTTTATATTATTACATATTTTTTATTACTGTTTACTCAATTATCATTTTATCCTCTAATTAAGATACTAAATATAGACCAGCAATTAACATGTGAGATTAATGAGAATTTTATTTAACCATACAACTCAGTATCTTATATAATAACTAATGATAATATACTAAATTACACAAAAATTATAATTCACAGAAAATAATAATTACACTATTTCTGTCACCTGACTTTATAAAGTTTCTTCCATAGTCATTTATGCTAGAATATTCTCTGACTTCTTCAATTTGTTCAGAATTTTGCTTAGATCTTGTGACTATATTTGTCTTTTTATTACATGAATTAAAAATAGATTTAAATTTCCTACTGTTGATTGGGGGAAGAACAGAATATAATGCAGCTGGAGAATTGATCTGACAATTGGGTTCAGCTCTCCAATTTGGAACAGCGATAAACTGATCACTAAGGACCTTACAAACATTACTAGGGTCATTACCTTCTGCTTTAGATGCTCTAGTTTTTTGTATTGTCTGTTTAATATTCTGCAACTTTTCCGCTCGTTTGTTATTACAATTTGTTTCAGTTTCTCTTAAGCGAAGTCTTCTGTTCTGTATATATTCTGACACTAATGTAAGAGATGGTTTGTTGTGTTTAATTTCCTGAGGAATATTGGATGTTCCACCTCTCAGACTAGATGGCATTTCATCACTTAAGGCAAATAGATTAGGTTTCTTAATTGTGTCTAATTTCTCAGTCACATCTTTAATGCTTTCACTCTCAGGCAACAACAGTAGAGGTATATCCTCTTGACGATCATTTAATGGTTCATCATAATTTAGTTGTGTAGCCATATCAACCTTTTTCACAATACTAATTTCATGGTTTTTGTCTACAAATTCCTTATTACCAGATACAGTGTCAGGAGCTTGAAGGTTTTTGACAACAGTATTTGATTTCTCTCTACTCCTTTCATTAGCAGTGTCTCTGAAAGCATTAATTGTCAATTACACAGACTAAAAGATACAAGCAAATATATTGTAAAAATCATATGTAGACATACAAAGCATTAATATAATATTATAATCAATAATCACCTGGCTAGGAGTTTTCTATCCAACAATTCCTTTTTCTTATTTAATATTTCTTGCTTTTTTCTTCTTACTTCAGCCACAGCTTCTTTACCTCTTAATTTTGACTTATCACTTTTCTTATCAACATCTAAAGAAAAAAGTGTTTTAAATTATGGTAACAATTATTAAGCTATCTTAATGAATGTTAAGAGCCTCTAATATACCCTCTTTATCTTGATCAGAAGCATTCCTATGCCCAGCACCAACATTTTCTAAACCGTTTGTATAGAGATCTTGTAATCGATTGACGAATTGTTTCTGGCATTCAAAATATTTTTTCACTTTCTTTTCATCAACGTCATTCAACTGTCGCAACGTTTCAACTTTAGCACGCTGTCGAATTTTCTTCGCTATGTCTTTTGATTGTTCCCGAACCTAAACAGTCAATTTCTATGTAAAATGTTGACATATTGTTAATAAATTAAAACAATTTAATAAAACAAAACCTGTTGTAGTCTCAACCGCCGACGCTGTAAAAGTTCATTTGTTTGTTTCAAATCAACTTCAGAAGTCATAATGACATTTATTTGAAAAAAGTTCTACTTTGTAATAAAAAAATAAGGTAAAAAAAACATAATATATCATAATATGGAATATTTAAAGTAAGACAAAGAAAATGAAACAAATCAATTTTAAACTGTTAAAAACGTCACTATGAGCTCAACCGTCAACCTTCTACACATTCATTACTACAATACACTGACGTCTGCTGTTGCTGCTGTCTGCTGACACTGACAATTAAGAATGTTCCGTTATATCAAAACGTAAAATAAAACGGGACATAGGTTTATGTGTATGTCGATATAAAACGATATATCTATATATATATATCCGTTACTTATATCCGTTTTCACAAAAACTGAATTAACATAATAACTTTTAAACCAAGCAAAACGATATCAATGTTATGATTCTTTATTATTGTTGCAAAAAGAGACGAAGGGAATAAAATACCATTAGGTTTGTTTTGATGATCATACTTCCATTCTGATAACAAACTTTAGATATATGAAAATAAGATCTAGTTTTCAATGATTTATTTAAATATTAGTTCATAGCGATACATAAAACTTCCTTATCCGCTATTGCAAATACTGCTGCCGTTTTTGGCTAAGCGATAGTAGATAGTACATACGTAAATCAGTACTTTTTTAATATTTAATATAGTATTATTATTACTGTTTACGGTTTGTTATTAAAGAAGTATGTCGCATAAAACCAATGGCATTTGGACACATTTTGATAAAAAGGACATTTTTGTCAAAGCAGTTTAATCATAGAAATCGATGAATTGACAGGTATCGGTATGATTCAGCCTCGGAAAGGGTCCTTATGTTGATGATCAAAGATAAATCTATGCCCTTCGTTTTAGCAACCCTTCCTCTTTCGACATGAAAAACTGCACACTTATCCGTCCCGAGCTCCATGAAAATTATACAACAACCGCTACCATTTCATGGAATTATTAATTTAAGCAATTCCATGAAATGGTAGCGGTTGGAAGCGAATACTTTGAGGTCATCCTTGTAAAAAAGGTGAGTCACTTTTGTCTCTCCTCTCCGAAACTGAAATCCATCCCCTGAGCCCTCCAGTAACACGCTGAGAGAATGCAGGGAGATGCAAAAATATTGGGCTCAAACAGTCGTCTATCTTTACTAACCGGTTTTATTTAGCTGGAACTGTTTGGGTCAAATCCCTTTCCATTTGACGGATTGTTCTAAAATTTGGTATGCACCTTCACACGCACTCTTCAATTTAGAGCATTGACCAGATGATAAAATGAAATCGTAGGGCGTGTGAAATATATACATATAACGATCTCGAAGCAATTGTAGCCTGGGCGGAACGACATGACTTAATCCTTAATCCGAAAAAAAGCACTTCGATCATATGCGGAATAAAGCATTAAACAGACTTTCTAAAGCAGAACAACCCTTGTGTTAAAATTATGGGTTCCTTGGTACCCCGACAGAATTGTGTACGTAATTTATGTCTTCTGATTGATGAAAACGTACGGTTCCATGAACATATTTTGTGTAAAATTAGGTAATATGTTTTGCATCACTTAGATCACTTTATAAAATTAGAAATTTCATTGATGAAAAATTACGTTTACAGTTATGTAATACTGTTTTTAGTCTTATCAAACTTGTGCTACTATGATATTGTATATGGTCCTGTCTATTCCAAAAAACTATACTAGCTTTACAACGGGTTCAGAATGCTTGCATGCGTTATTGTTGCTCGATACCAAAACGACACCATGTGCTACCACATATGAATCAGAGGGGTTTGTTAAAGATGGATAACAGGAGACGCTTGAGACTGGCTTGCTTTCTGCATTCATTATTAAAATTCAAAGTACCAGCTTATTTATATAATAAATTGAGCTGGTCAAAAGACATCTCGCGGTTCAATCAAAGGCTGAAAGCCCCTCCGCTTATCCTTCCAAAACACACTCTTGTGCAAACTCGGGGCAGTTTTAAGTTTGCTGCGTCTAAATGTTGGAATGACTTGCCCCCTCCACTTCGTAACATCTACTCCTTAAGTGCCTTCAAAATAAAATGTCGAAAATGGCTTTTGATGCAGCAATTATTGGCTTCGAGTACCCAGTCTTTTAAATATAATAGTTAATAGTTATTAATTGGATAGTTATAGTAATATAAATAGTTAATGTACAATATTTTAGTACCTATTATAAGCGTGTTCTTTATGAAAATTAAGTCTGACTAGGACAGAATATCAAAGTTGGTGTACCTTCCGTGCTACAACTTTGAGTCCTTGACCATTTTGTCTAAATAATTGTTATTTTTTTTCTATTTATGTTACTCTTTAAATTTTTTGTGCAGTGTATATATATTTAGACAAATAAACGATTATTATTATTATTTAAATCAAGTACCTAAGTAATAAACGAAATCCTCTGGGGTGTTTCATTTGATTTCTAAACGTTACGCACAACGCAGCCAACCTTATGTACGGGATTGGTTATAAAGGTCTTCCGAAAACAATGTATAATTAACATGTTAAACCTTTCCTTTCCATTGTACGAGTATAATATCTCTTCTGTGTAGAGCATTCGTCAGGGCGTCTTAGTCTTAGTTGTAAGGCCAAGACGGCAACATTGTATTTTTATAGCACGTAGATAACGAACGCGTTCCTCAACTTATCCGGGTAGTTCTTTTAGCTAGGCGTTTTCGTATAGTGTGGACAATTAGAAGTGGGCGATACAAATCGTATACAGATATGAAAACTATATATTGGTACAATATCCGAAAATTGCTTACTGGCTCGTTCAAAATCTATGTATTTTACAATATCTGATATTTCTGAAATCTGATGTACCCCGAATACTCGCTCACTCGCTATACAATCGCGATATCATACGCGTTTGCCACAATATCTGATTTTTAATCAAAGCGCGTGAGATACAAATATCCACTAGTTAACAATGCACAATATCAGATTTTCAAACAGATTTTATGAATAAGTTATGTTAATTTAAATACGAATCATGGTATGTTTAAAGTTTGTTGAGTCTTCAGCTGGAGTGAATTTTTACTTAACCACGTAACAGTAAGGGATGCCAACTTAGGAATTTTCTTCCTAAATTAAGGAAGAAAAATATACAATGGAAATTAGGACAAGGCTTGGTGTCTTGTGTGAATATTTTAAATTCTTCCGCCCTAAACTATACAGGGAGATTTTTTGATAAGTGCCCAAATTTACACAGGAGGTTCAGACTCGGTAGTATAATCGTTTATTGAAATAAAAAACAAAGTTTTTTTTCCAAAAAATGCCATTCTATTCCTTATAAAACAGAATGTGTTGACAATGCGGTAGTCATTCATAAATATCTAAATTTTACTGTGCACGAACTTGTGTGCGTGTTAGTTATGAATGATCGCACGTAAAAAATGAATGAGTTGAGTATAAATCACGCACTTTTTGAAATAAGTTCAAATGAATGTAATTAATTACTTACGAGTGATTTTAAATTTTTATCATTTTTTGTATAACATTATTTAGGTATAGAATTTAATAAAAAAAATGGATACACTTAGAAAAGCCACCCTGTATATTGTCACTCATGATTGCTTGTTCTGGGGTGTTAATAATACACAATTGAATTATGTATTAGGTTTTAACGTTATGATTCCAAACTTTGAAATAAAACGGAAAAAAAAAACTTAAATTTTAAACGTACGCCTCACCTTGTAGGTGGTCTTAACAAAAATTTACAAATTTAAATATAATTAATTGCTTGAATGCTAAATTGCTTTTTTCTATGAATTTAAGGTGGATACGCGAACGTAAAATATCTAGATATTAAAATACATCGTTTCGAAATCTGATATTTGAAATCGAAATCTGATTCAGATACGGTTCTCAGAAAAAGCGATACGACCCATCTCTAGGACATTCTATATCACTAAGCGATGAAGAAGAGTAGAAGGTAATACGACTTTTCACTAGTATATCGCTTAGGTCGGAATAATGTCTTGATGACCAGATACTGCTCTGTTCAATGGGGTGGTAGCTGTACATGGGCCAGCAATGGACCCTCGTTTGGGAGATGGGAGTGACCCCCAGCGCCTGCATTAAAATTTATAACTTATAAGTGTTACTCTCCGTGTTGTTATCGGCGCACCCGAATTGACACATCGCATCATTCTAAAAGCATCGCCTGGGAAACGTAAGCTTGCTTAGAGCATACGCCACCCTCTTGACCTCGCTGATTAAAACCATAGGAACGACAAATTGTTAGGTATGGAACCAGATTGTCTGTGCTTCAGTTAAGTCTACTTTTTTATATATGCATATATAATAAAATTCACCTTTTTAAATGTTATCTTTTAATATAGCCTCATATTTAATAAAAAAACACAAATTTATTGATTAATTATATATGCAGTATAATAATATTTTAAAATTATTTTGTACGTTTAGTTTGTATTGCCCAACCCTATACCAAGAAGTTTTTGTGAAGCCAGGTCTAATTTTAAAACGTTGTCGGGATCATTGGGGTCGAGCAAGGCCAAATTAATAAGACTTTCATCGGATTTATTATTACTGCTACCTCCAGCGCCACCAGATCCCCCGTTATTGCCTCTTCCATTGTTATTGCCACTGTTGCTTATAGTGGTGTATATGAGAGCGTTAATTAATTTCATAATAATTTCCTCAACGTCGATGCCACTTTTGCATGATGCTTTCGAATTTTCGCTTTCTTCAAGTGCACGAGCTAGCGTGAGTAGAACGTTTAGATCATCAATGGCAGATGTCGATGACCATGGTCTACGGCCTAAACATTGAGCTTCAGATAACTGTAAATTAATAAATTTTCAACATAAATATATGTTAAAATTAAATCGTAATTCTATTCAAACCATTCAGATTAGGGCTGACCAAGTATTTATTGCGGTCGGCTACATTCAAATATCTTTTTGTCTCAAAATGCTAATTCATAAATTAAATATTTAAGTAAATTATAAAATTAATAGATAAAACAAATTTTATTTCAATGATTACCTAATTTCTCTTACTGTTTTCTTCTTTATATTAGCTAAATGTTATATCTTAATAAAATCTATCTAAAAAAATAATTATCTTAATAAAACAAACGAAAACGAAATAAAAATATATATATCATTAACCGATTAAAGCTAATAAAAATCTGTAAGCCCTCGGGTGTTTGCAGGTGCTTATGGGCGCCGGTAATCACTTACCATCAGGTGAGCGTCCTGCTCGCCCCTTGTCTCCATAAAAAAAAATAGTAAAATATTAATTTTCAGCTTACCTCGCAGACAGACGCTAATAGCATTAAAGAAAACAAGTATATAAACACCATTTTGGTTTTCTGACTGATGCTGATGTCTCTATCAACTTCCTTATATACGTGCTCTATTTTATTTCGTAACAAAGGGACTGTAATCCTTTCAATTTTTTTATAAAATAAGGGTTCTCTATAAATTGTATTCATTGGAACAATAGATAATTCGTTTTGTTCGCTTAAAACTTAAACGTATGTAGGTACGCACTCCAAACTTCGATTCAGTATTCACGTAGTAATTTTTGTTCACAGAAAAAGAACTTTTCATAGAAAGAATTTCCAATTAAAAATAAAATGAAACCAGCATAAAAAGTAAATAACAATAAAACGTTTAATTAAATCTGTAACATTAATTCAATAGTGCAGAGTGCATATGTTTGATTACAATTTTTTTAGAAAATAATCAAAAATAAAGAGATGAGGTGATCGGTGCACGTGAGTATGAAGTAAAGATGATTTCTTCCATCTTGGGATACGAAATAAAATTCCTTTAAAAATCGAAGATTTACGAAGGGTTTTTTAAATGTGTCTGATGACACATTTAAAAAACCTTCACTGATGTGACTCTATAAAATACAAAAATTTATTGTTGAAATTATTTTATTTTAGTTAAAGAACACAATTGTAACAGTTTTCCCATTTCGATTAGTTAAAATAATTTTGATTTTAAAAAGTGATAAATATTGGTTACTTTATAAAACTGGTGGCCGAGCTTTGCTAAGAATATTTATTTCGTCAAATATTATTTATTCGATAATGTGTAGAATCGCCTCAAAGTTTTGAGGTGCCATAAATCTTACTTCCATTAACAAATACCTCAATAACTTACAAGATGGCCTTGTTATTTTCTTTCATAATAAAGCATTTGAAAAATCATATCAATGTTTGTAAAATCGGGTTTTAGGAAAAGTATAAAGATAAACTTAAAGCAAAACCGCATGTAAAAATAAAATATGATCCAAGGCGCAATTATACATAAAGATTCACATTTTGGTTATACCTATAATAAACTATAACTATACTATACCTATAATATCTATAACAGTGTTAAAATGTCGTTACCACCAAGCTCAACGTTAAGAAGGTCTCTGCTACTTTTATTTTTGGTGGCCACTAAAATAAGGGCGTCTATTAGTTTTGTAATAATATCGTCAGAGTTAAGTCGATCGTTCTTCTCGTTGTTCTCAATCTTGTTTATGAGAGCAGCCAGTTGCAATAAGGTATTGACGTCGGCAGGAGCAGAAACCATGGAAGTAGATGGTATTGGGTCAACAGAAATATATTGAGGGTAGCGCGATAAACATTGTCCTAAGACTACCTGAAAGAAAACACAAAAAATTTGTAACATCAGCTTCTGATAGCATTAAATTGAGTTATCAGAAAAATATAAAATAAATAACTTACTCCAAAACACACAGTTACGAATAAAGCTACCGAACTTAATCGACCCATTGTTTCAAACATACTACATATAACAGAACTCGTGTTTTTATAGATTAACATTATTACAAAATGTATATTGCCTAAGGTTATAAATGATTGCCTATTACAATTTTAAATTCAAGGATTGAAAATATAATTCAAGTTATAGATGTAATATAATTAAGAATGAATTAAATAGTGTTAAAATGATGCATTATTTGTGAAAATAAAGCAGGATATATTATGTATAAGTTAATTCATATTTTAATGTATTTAATATTTAAATTTCTTGAACAATCATTTAATCATATAAATATGTTCATATATTACTAAATTAATTTATTGTGTTTTCCCGAATTATGTTTTTTTATGAATTCGACTTCTAGAATATATTATACCTTTGTTAACTCTAGGTTCGTCAAAAGTCACGTAATTATCAGGTATTCATTGCCTTCTGTATCCACTGGAATACGGTCAAATAATTAGGTAACCATAACACAGAACACAAAACGTATTAAACCGTCCTTGATATAACGTCCTATTAACCATTTTTCTTAACTTCTTCTATTGTCATAATGTAGTCTCTATCTAGGCCTATTATTCCAATCCAAATTTATAGAAAATAAGGTGCCGTGTTGTATGATATAAGGATTGTAGTCTTTGCTTGTGTTAAGGAAAGTAACGATAACGGGTAATGACTGCAAATACAGCAATTATTCTTAGGTGCTTTTCTTTAATAAAAGGATATAAATATGCCATTTAATACAAATCAAAGCTTTTTTAACCGACTTCAAAAAAGGGTGTGGTTCTATGTTCGACTGTCTGTTTTTTTTGTTAGTTCAAATCGTTTTATTTTTTCATGGAGTAGAAAAATAGTTGACAAAGTTTATAGTGCCTACTAAAACTAAATAACTATAAACTATAAACTAACACTTGTGAAATGTGTCTTATTTAAGTAAGTATTAAACTTGAATAAGTAATACGAAATATTTATTTCAGCTTGGTAGATTGTACTATCGAAATCTACACATTATATACTTATTGACTTTAGTTTCCTCATGCGAAGCACTTATGGTTTTAAAGGTAACCCTTTGTTTTGTTTTGCAAGATTAAATTCGTACTTAAAGGTTTTGTGTGAAAATTTAGACATGCCTAGGCTACGTTGGACGTGCGTCTTATGGACACAAGTTGTTAATGGCAATGGTGTGAACTAAAGAACTTTGTTTTGATATTTCTGCCCGTGAAAGTGAAAGGTGCAATATTAGAAATAACTATCCACTACATTCCATGCAAAGGAAAGAAGGACAGAAGGCAGAGCTTGCTAAATTACTCAAACATTGAGGCTTCCTACCTAATGCTTTTTTTTTAATATTTAATTTTCAACAAAGCCCACTTCATTGGTCTTAAACCATGACCAACATGATTATTTATTTTGTGGCATAGGTTACGACGTTTATCTTTAAGTCCATCGTTACCCTACGTTTGGAATCATGGATACCGGTCCCAAACAAAGAAGAAAAATGAATCCGCGGTACACAGCTAATCTGTTATCAATCATAACATTTGGGTAAGTGGGAGCTTATAAGCAGCTCAAAGTTTTGTTACATTCGGTCATACAATTTTCTTATTTCAAGATGGACACTAGAAACGTTCAAACTGGGATACAATCGTGACATTCGAGAAAATGATTTATACGCCCCTTTGCCAGAACACCAATCCGACATCTTAGGTGAGCGAAAACATTAATATTTTAAAACAAAACTATTTCCTGGGAATGTAAAAGATAATTTGTAATGTTTTAAACATTTGAACGAACGTCTTAAATAGAGTTCTGAAGTAAAAAAAACATACTGGTTACATCCCATCTAAAGTAAGCGGTTGTATAGTAAATTGTTAAAACGCAGAAACATAAGATATGTCTCTTCATTTATGCCATAAAGACTCACGTATCAACGTGGCTCTATAAAATTTGTGAAAATTAAATTATGGTGAAACTCATGTACCGATAAAACTGACCAGGTGATGCAATACAAAAGGCTTGGGACCGTGAACTTGAAAATACCCGTGCAGGACGTGAAAATGTTAAACCTAGTTTATGGAGAGTGTTGATGAAAGTGTTCGGGGTCGAACTCGTACTTTATGGTCTCATAGTAGCAGCGATGGAATTTTTGATACGGTGACAAGTCATATTAAGATTTATATTTTAAAGTTTCCCCAACGAATTCCGTAAGCAGTCGTTTTCAATGTAAAGCATTTGTATTTATAAACGCTCACATGTTTGTTATACATACCTATAGTTCTTTTAAAGATACTGTTGGTGACATGGCAGAAAAAATTCTATAATTAAATTGTAGTTATAAACAGTTGTCGAATTTCCCAATTCTGGGAATTTGTGTAGTAAACACTAGTTCTTATTTTGTAAATTTTTCGTGTAAATTTCAGACACAATGTAATTCATTTATGTTTTAACTTCTTTTGTAACAGATTGCAACAGCCGCTGTTTCTTGGCCTATTACTAAGATATTACAGTCCCGCTCAAGATTTATACAATAGCACGTAAGACAAAATACGATGAACACAACATTAGATATATGATATAGTCTTAGTGTACTCTTTAAATTAATGCCCACAGGGTCGACTCTACGTACTTCTACCGTTTGTTTTCGTACTACGACAAAGAGAGTGGGGTGCTATTCGGAGAGGCGGTATTTTTCGCTTTCGGTGTTGTATTCTGTAGCACTGCGAACGTTATGGTGGCCCATCCCTTCATGATGGGCGTCACGCATCTCGGCATGAAGATGAGAGTTGGCGTGTGCAGCCTCATTTATAGAAAGGTGAGCATTCAAGCAAACAAACACACAAACTCTTCAACTTTAAGTATAGCTTAAGTTCAACGATTGATAATAGACATAGGTACTTAATAAATTTAACAACTAGAATTTTTCAAGAAGCTTTCGAAACCTCAACGAAATAATTACGCTGTTGACCTAGCTACTATTACCAAATTGTAAAGTTTTCAAACGACTTTTTTTTCCAAATCAACCTAAGAGGACGTGACAATATTATTTTTTATTTCCTTTTTTACTGTCACAATTTTTTTTGTAATTATTACTAAATAGATTTTTTCTTTGTAGTGGCCTAGGTTTCCACGTCACGCACGTCTAGATGGAAACTCAGAATCAATTCATATTTTTGAAAATTATGTATCTATATAAATTGGCAACAAAATTTACAATACATAAATGCTTTTGAGCTAACATGACGCCGTGCGGTGAGACTCTCGACCGCTGAGCTTAGCGGTTAGAGCGTCTGGGCGAGTTAACCGAAAGATGCAGGTTCGAATCCTAGCAACGGCGAAAATATTTCGACAATTTATTTACACAATATATTAAGTTTCAACTTAAGTGCAAGGAAACAAAAAAAAAACAAACGTGAACGATCATCATCTCACGTGATGATGAATAATCACCACCACGGACTTTCACAGCAGCAGGGATAGAACCTGTGTCTTCTGATTGTAACAGTTGTTAGGTACGAAATTTGAAGTAAATATTTATTCTTGCAGATTCAGACTCCTAGAGTAGAAAATGAAAAATTTAATAAACGCTATATGTTTTCAGTCCTTAAAGGTCAGTTTACAATCTATATCAGAAAGCAACGCGGGTCTTGTGGTGAACATAATGGCGAATGATGTAAATCGATTTGACACCGGTCCTTCTTTTATTCACTACCTTTGGATCGGCCCTCTAGAGACCTTGGTGAATATCGCTTTGCTCTTTCATATTAACTTCATCGATACCAATTTAACAAAGAAAGGACGGAAGCATTGAGAGGTTTTGTACATTTATGGTCAGCAATTTCCGGAACAAATGCACATATTTGTAGAATTCTTTCGTCATTTGAAAGGTACATCATACAAGACATCCATAAGTCCGCACGATATAACTTTATAATATGTACGTAGACATAGACCCAGAAATATAGACAAATGGGGAGGAAGCAAGGGCAAATATATACCCCGACAGCGTTTTTGACAAGACCCGACTAGTTTTGTTTAAAAATAAAGAGCTATTCATGGACTATTTAACTTATACGCTGTTAAATTAAATATGATTATTAGTTGCAACCTCTCTACTTGATTAATTGACAAATAAACTAAATTGCATCAGAGTAGGGCCGGAGTTGGCGGGTTATATTAAAAATTCACATTTACTGATTTGATAACTACATATTTTGAATTAATCATTTTGATTTTAGATAATGACCGTATACTTATACAGAGAAATGGGCATGCCAGCTGTCTACGGAGCACTAATAGTTATTGGTGTTGTGCCCTTTCAAAGTTAGTCAAGTTTGCTTTGTAATAACTCTCTATATAAGTAATTGCGATAACCACAATATAAGACGACATTTTTCTCTTCCAAAAGAACCTAATTATTCAAGTTTTCTCTCCTTAGTATGTCTTGGAATCGCTACAGCTTTCTACAGAAACGAAACCGCATTGAAATCTGACGAAAGAGTAAAGTTAATGAAGGAAATCGTTATGGGAATCGAGGTCATCAAAATGTACACGTGGGAAATACCGTTTCGCAGAATAATCGATGCCGTAAGGCGGTTCGTAGTTTGATCTTTTTTGGCTTTGGCTAACTTAAAATTAAATATATGACTTAAAATAACGTTGGTATTCAATTTTTGTGTAAAGCATCGCAACAGCTTCTAATGTCGCCTGATAGGACTAGCTTGAATGGGAAATTCTCGGCCTAAGAGAAACTAGCGTAGGCAATTTTAAGTTATTGTAGAATTAACGTAGAAAAGTTGTCATGTGGCCGTGCACCTGATGATAAGTGATTAAGCCCATTGAAATCTAAAACACCAGAAAAATTGTCAATGCAGCATTAAAAACCTTTTAAAAAATTGGCCGTTACCTCACTCACCATACGAAACGCGAAAGTATAATATTTCTACTTCGCTTTGGTCTTCCAAAAGACCGCCCCCAGACGAGACTGCCCATTCGTACAACAGCAGAAGCCGTCACGTGGCCTAACCACAGTACAATTACTTTAACGCTGAAAAATTTAATGATATGTTTTTGAAAATCGCATTCTGAAATTACAAAATGAACTCAAATTGTTTTTGAAAAATAAAGCTTTCAAGATATCACTGTGGCGGAATGTCAACAGCTTACATACTTACTTCGCCTAGGCCTTCTTGAGGGGGGAAATCCCACGGTCTCACGATAGACCAGCGAGAAATAAAAGTATTTGTTTTGCGTTTCGTGTGACGATTAAGATACCGAAAGACAGGAATTACAAAATGGTGTGTGGTTGGAACAGCCCTTTAAGCCTTCAATGGCTGTGGTCACTTAACAGTTGAAGGTGAGCTGTCCCTTTAAAAAAAGGTAAATTAATATCGTGAAATAAGAAAAGGTATAGCACTTTTCAGAATCTATGTGTTTTTGTATTTATACACTCACTTCTCTCAATAATCATTAATGTATCACCATATAATAAGGAACATTATCACGTAGCCAAGAAATACGCTGTATCAAAATGACATCTTACGTTCGGGGCATAATCATGTCCTTCATAATGTTCACCGCGCGCTTCAGCATTTTCATCACCGTTCTACTCTACGTCACCTATGTGAACCGCATCACCGTTGAGAACGTCTTCTTTCTCACTTGCTACTACAACATCATGAGGCAAACTATGACATTGTTCTTTCCGCAGGCAGTCGGACAGGTGCGTATTGTTGTCTTATTCAAAAGTATTAAAAATTACTTTACTAGTTCAAAATAAAAAAATATGATTTTGAAGTAGTGACAAAAACTTTTTTTTATAAAAACAATGTTTGCTCCTGATTTTAGATGTTTTCGCAAACTGAGGAATTGCAAGATTTTCTGATAGACTACATTATCAGATTATGACCTTTATATGAAATCCGCGGATTCTACCATCAAATCCATCTTTCCAATGAAAGAAGGTTTTGGAAATTGGTCAACGATGATGTACGTTTAGGCAATTTATGTTCACACTCGCTTCCTGCAATCTGCATTTATTTAAAGTTTCGCGGGTCACACGTTTTTATAGTAAACTATACCTAATGTAATAAGGTATATAACTACTGAGTAGGTTTATAATGACTGCTTTGACCCAGATCGCAGAAATGCACGTAGCTATTCAACGAATCCGTGACTTTTTGTTGAGCGAGGAATGTCGGTTGCCGCCAAGGGAACAGTTGTCCACCGAAACTAGACTGCAGACCGCAAAACCGAAGAAAAGGGTTACCATTTCCAGTAATGATTAAAATCATCGCATAAAATACTTGACTTTACTTCTTTAATTTTAAGTTATCCAAAACGACGCTTTATTTCCAGTGGATGCAACAGATATGACAAGTCAGAAACCCTCTCCGGCGAAGCGTCTACAAGAACCAAGCTCTTCAAAGGGAATTCCAAAAAATAAAAGTATTTAATTTATTAAAATTTTTCATATATTTGGCCAATACACTTAACTAAACAATTACTGTTTTGTTCGTCTACGTTTAAAAAGATAATTATAATTTATGACATATTTTCGTCATAACATCGTGTAAAGATATCACATTTTAAACAATTAATTAACTGCCACGCTGTCACAGTATTTTTTTGGACATATTTTCATTTTCAACATTTTGTCATGTCTATCGGCGGCGGTTATCTTCTTAATGATCAGAATGATCAGTTCAAAGAGTTTAACAATCCTTTTGGCAACTCCAATAACATTTGAAAAGCCATTTGGCAGCAATCACCTGCCATCTAGATCTAGCTGATCATCGTAGAATTCAACTAATCAAGTTTACTTCTACGATGATCAGTCTTTCAGAAACTGGGCGTAAAGGTTGGTGTTTAATATAATTGACTTCATTTATAATTAGTTGTACTAATTACTTAATTGACATTTTAATAATATCTATTGATTTTTATCTTTCTATAAACAAATTTTAGGCGAACATACGATAAAGGAGGAGGTTGTAGTCAAATTTGAAAACGCTTTCAGCCGTTGGATAAAATCATCTGAAAAAGAAGATGTGGAAGACATTACTCTTAAGGTTAGTATTGTTGAAGAATGGAGATTTAATATTTTCAATGATATTAAATTTTTTGTGCAGAAATTTAACATTGAATTATTACTTATCTTATAGATTGAAATTTACTTTAATCTTATTCAAATATATTTTTTTATAGAGGCAAGTAAGATATCAGCTCACTTGATGTAAGTAACTACCGCCGCCACCTTGGTATTATTTTATGTTTTAGGTAACAACAGGCTCTTTTCAATAAATGTGAAACGTTTCATTACGGATATTTGATAATATTAACAATATTGAAATTATGAAATCAGTTATGTAACTGGATTCTTAAATGTAGGGAGCGAAGTTGTTAGTTCTGTTTGTAACCGACTTCAAAAAAGAAGGTTTCTCAATTCGACCGTATATATTCGTATATATTTTTTTATGTGTGTTCGCGGATAACTTCGTCATTTATGAACCGATTTTGATGATTCTTTTTTTGTTGGAAAGGAGATATTAAGAAAACCCGGATCCATGATAAGGAAACCCGGATCTGATGATGGCATCTCAGAGAAATCAGAGGGCAATCCTCAAATATCATGACAATGTGTTGACAATGTTTTTAGTTTCCTGTTTGAAGTCGGTTTTCAAAATTATCAAACGTTTGCACGAAATCAAAGTACACGCGTTTTTTGTGTACACTTTTAAGCCCCTTGAGTCACAAAGAGTGCGCCGCAGACACTCACTTTCTAATGACATCATAGTACGGCAGATGAGCGTGCCCATCCATGCAACAGGAAAAACTACCGAGTGATCCTACCTCAAAAAGAGTAATGCTATAGTTATCGTCGGTAGCAAGGATAGATAGTATAGTCACTGATTTTCAACTTTTGCACAGATTATGTCTGGATCGCTTACGACTGTAATAGGAGCAGTGGGCTCTGGCAAATCGACTTTGTTGCAAATGATACTGGGTGAACTTCCCAGCTCTCGTGGAAGTGTCGAAGTAACGGGCACCCTAAGCTACGCCTGTCAGGATCCGTGGTTGTTTGTAGGTGAGTAGATGTAGTGAACTTTTCGCTTGGAGTATCCCATCTTATGATGGGAAACTCTGCGCGAAAAGTTTAAGAGAGTATATTTATGTAACAATTGTACCTATACGTAGATAATCCTGATTCGCTAAAGCCTTCTGTATAAAAAGTTTCAAGAGTCTAATCCGCCAAGCGCCTAAGGTTTAAATTCGAATTATGGACCACTTATGTTCCGGAAAGAACTTACGCTTACTGAGTTACTTAAAATATAAAATTATACTCCTCCAAAGATTCAGTGAATATTATTTACAGGTTCCGTCCGCCAAAACATTCTATTCGGTTTGCCATTTCATAAAAGCCGTTACATGGAGGTCTGCAAGGTTTGCGCACTCGAACGGGACATTTCGCTATTCCCCCACGGCGACAAGACCGTCATCGGTGAGCGTGGTGTTTCTCTCAGTGGAGGGCAACGGGCGAGGATAAACTTGGCTCGTGCTGTTTATAAAGAGGTTATTAAGTTCACTTTATCCGTAACTTTAGTTATAGAACGTTGGGAGCGCTCCGGGATCTCATACGGAACGCACCGGTACCTCTGCACTGAACTAAGATGTACAAACATGCCATACCGATCGTCCGAGGTCATGGTTTTTTTAAATTAATTTATTAAAAAAAATTATTACCAAGAGAATATGTCCTAAAACTAATTGTTTCAGAACTCTTTCATTTATGTTTACTGTCTCAGAAAATAGGAGAATATTGTTTGGTACAAATATTGTATTAAAAAAAATAAATTCACTATAATATTAAATTACCAATACTGCTATCTTAATCCTTTAATAATTTATAAATATTCGGTTGCCACATTCTAGAAATTATATGATTTTTATACTGTTTTTACACTTGGTTTATGCATTTGTTTCAGGCTGATATATATCTTCTGGATGATCCGCTTTCGGCTGTCGATACACACGTATCTAGGCACATTTTTGAAAATTGCATTAAAAAGTAAGCCTTATTAAATTATTGAATTTACTTTTACACGACAATTTGGTACACAGGAACAAAATAAAAGCAATCGGACTATTTCCCATATGGCTTGATATTCTCTTCTTCGTCTTCTATATCGATGATTAACGATCGGTGGTTAATGAGCTTTTGGCAAAACAACATTTGAAGATTTTTAAAACCGTTATTGCTAATAGATTTATAGTTATTGTTCTTCAGGTACCTGTCCGAAAAAACAGTGGTATTAGTGACACATCAAATACAATTTATTAAGTCCGTCGACCAAATCGTTATCATGGATAAAGGCAAGATTCTAGCGGAAGGATGTTTTGAGGACTTGAATGTAATGTATTTCAATGTTTATTTTAATTCATATCATATTACAGTAATTTATTAGCGGTTTCTTAAATAAATATCTTTCCTTAAAAATATATATATTTTTTAAAGAAAGATATTTCCAACCCTTTACAACACTTTTTCCCAATTAAAAAATAGCCTATATCTTTTCTCAGGCTGTTGACTATCAGTGTACCAAATTGCATTAAAATTGATTCCGTAGTTCCGCGTGAAAGTGAGACAGACAGATTACTTTCGCATTTTTAATATTAGTACGGATTAATTTTGCCGTCATACGGAAAAAAGACGTGTATTACATTTTTTCCTAAACTGAGTAACTTACATGTTCGGATTCAGTACAAAAAACCCAATATATAAATACAATAACTCATTTTTGAAAAAAATGTCATATGCGTCTTTCGTCCGTATGACGGCTGAATTATATACCTACATATTCAACACGCTAAAAAATGTCGAAATATGAAAATTTTAAAATGTTTTGTTTAATTAACAAATACAATACCAAGAAATAACAGTAAGTCAGAATGATATCCTTTGTCTATTTCAGGAGCAAGAATTGGCAATAATCCAGCTTATGCAGGACAAGACTCGTGAAGTACGCGAGGATGAATCTTCGCCGAATCTGCAAAGCCAATCAATATTGCAACCGAGCACGGTCAGCTTGAACCGACGTCACTGGTCTACGATATCGAACATCAGCTTCGCCGTTAGTACACGATATTCGTTTTCTTACTCATTTTGTTTGCTACATTAGACATTCGCTGGATTTGACCCTTAATTTGAAAGGATAATTCTTTACATTTTCTATCGAAGTTTATGTTATGTTTGGTATAACTATCGAATAGTATGTAATAAATAATGTAATATGTATGTAGTAATGTATGTATGTAGTAATGTAATAAACCGTTCCTTGGTGCTAAATAAAAGAAAATAAAAAAATTTATAACTATTCTATATAACTAATTTACGTAGAACACAGCAGTTTGCTGCTGTTGAATGGATTGCCTTCCTTCCGTATCCTTAGCCAAGAAAATATAACAGCCTTACAAAACAGATTATGACAAATTGATTAAAACTTACACTTTTGCAGTTTGTTTCGTGAGCTTGGTAGTCTCGGTGTAAGATCGGGATCCACACTCCAAAAGGTTATTATAATTTCAACACCACTGGTATTGATGGGTATTACAGGAAAAATATGCCTATGATTGCAAGTATTTCAGCATACATAACGGAATTAACAAATAAAGACATAGTATTCCTAAATGTTTTTCATAGGATCAAAAACCGGAAGCTGAGGCGCAAGCAATCGGACGCGTGCGCGGATCTGTGTACCGAGACTACTTTCTGGCGGGAACTTCATATTTTTACGTTGTCATCGTCTGCGCAATGTTTGTCATTGCGCAATTTTTTGCGAGCGCCAGTGATTTTTGGATTAGTAAATGGTATGTGTATCTAATTAGTCTTGTTATCTTGTCATAATTTTAGTTTCTCCTAGCTCAAATTTCTAGTTGCTCTCTCAAGGTAAATTTATAGGTTTTTTTTCTTTGTACATAAAAGCTTTGCACGGTCAAATATATCTTTCTCATCATTGCACAGGAGTCACATAGAAGATCACTTAACGGGAGATACAGCTATTGACAATTTGCTGTGGGAACAGAGCGGCTTGTACCGCAGTCATTATGTGGTGATATTCGGCGTTTTAACAATAGCGACAGTCGCCATTGCTCTCTTCAGAGCCTTCTTGTTTTTTTCGCTATGCATGAAGTCTTCCATAAGGTTATTCAATATTGTAACATTGGCGGTTATAATGAAACCGTGTTAAAATTTAATATTAAGTTTACAGAAAACTCCTATAGACCAGCTGATCCAATAATGAGTGGACTGAGAAAAGTCATCGTAAGAATCGTGAGAGACCGTGTATCACGCAAATATAAAACAAAAACATTTGAAAGATATATAAAGTCTGCCAATCCGCAACAAGTCTGCGTAGCGGAAAACATTTATACTATAGAGGCTTTTGGCCAGCACTAAGACATATAAATATAAGCATACGCTATTACTTTACCTATTGCCCACGTAGGTGTAGTCTTATAGCCTGTGAATTGAGAGCCGCGCCATGACGCATCTCACGAACTTTCTTCCCTTTTTTTTGAAAGATGGCTTCCAGTCCCTAGAGCATATAGTAGAAGCTTGTCTTAATAGGTACAGTCACATTTATTTTTGAATTTCTGAATGTACCCTGTGCTGGTAATTGCGTGTACCACCACACCTTAATGTCAATGTGGGATGGATGAGCTTATGTCAATTGGATGGCGGTTAAGAATGTCAAAATAAACCGACCGATGTCACTGAATGCTTTTACTGCACTAAAATATATTAAAATTATAATTACGAACTAAAGTATAAAACTAGGTCGCGTATACGAGCGCTTGCAAGTGTCAATATGTTGTGTATGCAGTTTTGCTATACAATAGAAAATGTACTAGAAAATGGCTTTGCCTGTACATACCCAAAGGGTACATTCAGAAATTATATTATATTAGCATTTTGAAGTAAAACTTATTTAGGCGCGACTAATAAGGGACGATGACGCGTTTATATACCATCTGATTTTTAAATATTTACGGTATATGTATGTATGTATCTGAATTAAATATATAGTATTTAAAATAATAAAAAAAAATAGTTATTTCTTATTAATTAATACATTTATAATAAAGGAAATTGTTATTAATAATTTTAAAGATTTTTTTTGTTTCACTTGAACCGCGTGTAAAGTTTACACGCACTATTTTTTTTAATGTGACTGAGTTAAAGCGGTTCACCTGATGTTAAGTGATTACGCCGCGGTCCAAGAACATCTATAACACGCGTGGGTTGCAGACGCGTTACTAAATCTTCCGCCGTATGGCTGTACCACATGAAGTAGCACTTTAATAATGCCATAATAACGTGACAGATTACACGATAAGATGTTCGACTGCATATCGCATTCCCCGATGAGTTTCTTCCACACAAACCCCTCAGGTCGAATACTGAATCGCCTAAGCAAAGACATGGGGGCGGTTGATGAACTTTTGCCGCAGGCGATGTTGGATTGTTTTCAAGTGAGTAACTGCGATAAATAAACTGGTAAAGTATATGATGTACCTTCTATATACAGAGTGTCGTTACAACCGCGACTATAAAATTAAATGAACACACGTCTAGCGCTACTTGCCAATAATCATAAAAAAATACAAACGTTAAAAAAAATCCATAATTGAAAACAAATATTTTTCAAACAAACGAATTAAAATAAAAGAAACAAAATTTGTAACATCCTATACAACTACAACAGACTGATTCATACATTCAGAGAGTTTTTCATTCGTTGCCACAGCGTCGAATAACAATTCTCTCCTTCTAACAGTATGTTTTATCTCTTTTTAAATTCATTCAACCCATTCATATGCTTTGTGACCTTTACAAATGAACTTTACATTACGGTTCTATACGTAAGAATGTTCTAAAATTGTTTGTTTTGGAAAATTTAATAACTCTGTAAATATTGATGTTTAAAGAATGTAAATGTTTAATACAACTTGTGTGTTCATTTATTGTCAGGGTTGTAACGACACGCTGTATAAATACGTGTAGACAACACTTTGTACTCCTTTTAAAGCATGTATTGCCAAAATTTATATGGAGAAAGTGTAGACAGTTTATATGTTTATAAATGCAATTGGTTAAAAAATAATGCATTAATTACTTACGTTCAAGCTATCAATGCCAAACAATAGTCTATAGTCAAAAAATCATACAGAATATAGATTGTTCCCAAATAATGTTTGAAACGTGAGATAATAGAAATAAGTTTTAGGAAAAGAAATAGAACTTAATAAATTACTGTCGAATTTTCACCACTGAGCGACCGCTAGTAATTTTTAGACGAATTTTAAGGCTTCGCTTCGTTAAATTGGCCAAACCCTCTGAAGCACATACCTGAAAAATTTTCCTTACTGATCGCGCAATTTCGTTAACTCGATACACTCGCGGTTTTGTTTAAAAGTCAAGAAATACTAGCAACTATGGAAGCGGCTCCTACTTAGTTGTTTTCGCTCAATTCCAGATTATTTTGAACCTCGTGGGGGTAATTGTGGTTATATTGATGACCGATATGACTATGTTGATACCGATCATAACCGCTATACTGATATTTTACATATTTCGCGTCATATACGTACGCACGACGAGCGCTATAAAACGTCTAGAAGGGATTAGTGAGTATAATGTTATTTTATTTTTTATATATAGAAATGGAGCCATTTTTACGGATTGTATAGCTGTTTAATTTAAACGTTCCCTGAGAAAATTATATTTGAGATTTGGTCTCTCTGACGCAGCCGTCCGAGTTCACATTCGTAAAACGTCTATAACGCAGTGACTCTCTAGCGAGGATAATGTAAAACATCTAACATAACAGCACACAGTCCTGGCGGTACGGCAAAGAAATAATTGTAGTAGTGTAAAAAAATAATTAACGTAACAGCAGGCAGTCTTGGGGGAGTGTAAAACATACTTAACCTAACAGCACACAGGCCTTGGGGTAGTGTAAAAAAATAACGTAACAACAGGCAGTCTTGGGACAGTGTAAAAGATACTTAACATAACAGCAGGCAGTCTGGGCGTAGTGTAAAAATAATTAACGTAACAGCACGCAGTCCTGTATTCGGCCACGTGAACGCGACGGTCCTCGGCCTCGCGACCATCAGGTCCTTCGGGGCGGAGGAGCTTCTCGCGCAGGAGTTCGACCGCCACCAGGACCTGCACAGCGCCGCGTGGTACCTCTTCATCACCTGCAGCCGCGCCTTTGGCTACTTCCTCGACGTGATCTGCCTGCTGTTCATAGTCTGCGTCACGTTCAGCTGCCTGATGAAGACCGGTAACGGAATACATTCGCGATTACGATGTTCACAGTTGCAGACCCACGCCCTCTCTGCATACATGCTCGACTACGAAGTACCACAGCCTCATAGATGACCTTCTTCTTTCTCTTCTTCTTCGCCGTTCCCCCACTAATGAGGATCGTAACCATATATAACTTGTCGCCATTTGCTTTAATTTAATTTATTCAACCAATTCACGGAAGACCAGCATATAGATAAATACATTTTTGCCCGTGTAGGGATAGTGCTACGTAGTTACTTCATCATCATAGCCAATGACCCTTAAAGCGCCACATTGAAAGACACTTTGCCATTTTTGGGACTATATATCGTCTACATGTCGTTATTCTTTCTAGTAGTCTTACCTGGATCCGCGTTAGTACTGAACTATTTCCGGCACATTCATGCAATAGCAAAGCTTTGCAGAGTCATAGGAGAATTGTTACATTTCAAGAGACCCAGTATCAGACAATCGCAGTGTAGGACGCCACTATTAGATGGAGTGTCACCTGTGCAAACGTGCGGGAAGTCTATAGATGCAGAAGGCACAGAATCTTGTTTCGTGTAGGTTTGCGGGGGTGGCCTATGATGAAGACACCCAGACGTGAAACGGTAAAAAATTACTAAAATAAGAAGCATGACATACTCAATATGCTCCAATAGTCCTTTTTTTGTTGATTCTCCTTGCCTTATTATTCCAAAAAGAATTGAGTATCTAAGAAGTTAGAGATAAGGGAAGAAGTAAGAGATTTTAAAGAAAACGTTTTTTTAAAGATAACGAGGGCAGCAACGTGGGCCTTGTAATAACACAGTCAATTTCGCTCACTGGCGTATTCCAATGGGGTATGCGACAGTCGGCCGAGATGGAGAATCAAATGACCAGCGTCGAAAGGGTCCTAGAGTACACCAAACTACCGCAAGAGCCCGCCCTGAGATGTGTAATAGTTTTCTCTTTAACTTTCACCTTGTCGATTGCTTGATGCCCTGTGCATTGATTTCAACTGCTGTCTACTTGTCCGAGAGTATTTCGATTTTGAGATTTCATGTTTGTGAAACCTTCTGCGGTGCAAAATTTATTGCGTGCGGAAGGTTAGAATAAAAATAATATAGTAAACAAGGTACATTACTGTTTCTAACAATTCACCATTACGAATCGTATATATTATATATTACGAATATCTTACAAACTTAAGTATGACAGATAAGTGGAGGATACAGGTTTGCGATTGTCAAAGAGGGCTTCTCAGGGTTTTTTGCAATCACTCTTCACGAACTGTTCAGCGTGGGACATTTGGTTTAAATTTTACGGAGTATGGCTCTGGAACGGTCGAGATTACGATTCGCATACCGAACGTCTCAGACCTATAGCGGACAATTTCAATAAACGCTCGCATGTCCACATGCATTAACGCTACTTATGAAGCATTTGCATTTCCGTGAGCTTTGTAACCGATGAAGCTTTATATGGTCTCCGAATTAACAGCTAAAACGTCATTCATGAAAAGTTTATTTGGTTTATTTTACATCGTAACTATTATCCAAGAGCTGTTCAGGTTCAGAGGAATAGAGAAAACAATAGATAATGTAAGGTTCCTGGTAGTGTAAACCCGATTTGCGTAGTGGACGGTGATACTGTCTCCTGTGCCAGAGGTTGTGGGTCATCCCCCACTACTGGTAAAATATTGTGCGACGAACATATCGTGTACGTGAACGAACGTATTGTGCCGGAGTGTTTAAGTACGTAGGCGGGATGATAAGTAACTAGCCATTGCTATTTAAAAAGTTAAAATTAAAAAAATATATGTGTCATTTTTAAATTCGTATCTCTGGCCACCTGTGTTCTAAATTTGAATTAGGTGGCGTGAAAATTTTATTGTTTTTTGTCATTTGAAAATATATTTCGTCAACTATTTTCAAAATGGATAGAACAGAGAGCGGTGATAAAGTTTTCTTCATATGAAGGGGATGAAGGCGAAAGATATCTATGACGAGTTAAAGAATGTTTTGGGTGAATGTGCTCTTTCTTATGCCACAGTAAAAAACTGGGTGGCTGAGTTTAAACGCGGTCGTACATGTGTCCAAGATGAAGCCCGCCCGGACGTCCAAAAAGCGTTACGACTCCGGAAATGGTCGTGAAAGTACATGATATGGTTTTAGCTGATCGACGATCTAAGTTATCTGAAATAGCTGACACTACAGGTATCTCAAAAGAATGGGTACATCATATCCTAAGTGAGGAATTAAATATGAAAAAGTTATCGGCCCGTTGGGTGCCGCGAATGCTTACGCACGATCAAAAAATGATTCGGGTGCAAAACTCAAAAGAATGTCTGGACCGTTTTCAGAGTAATAAGGCCGATTTTTTACGTCGATTTGTAACAACAGATGAAACATGGGTTCATCATTACACGCCAGAATCAAAAATTCAATCAAAACAGTGGACTCAATCGGGATTCCCGGCTCCAAAAAAAGCCATGGCTGTAAAGTCGGCTGGAAAAGTGATGGCTTCCGTCTTTTGGAATGCAGATGGGATTTTGACTGATAGATTACCTTGCTAAAGGTCAAACTATTAATGGTGAATACTACGCTAATCTTCTTGATAAGCTTCATCAATGTATTCAGCAAAAACGACCAGGTTTGGTGAAAAAAAAAAATCATCTTCCACCAAGACAACGTTGGGTTCACACATGTGTTAAAGCTATGGCAAAAATCAACGAATTGAAGTATGATTTGCTGCCTCACCCACCTTATTCGCCTGATCTAGCGCCATCAGACTTCCACTTATTCCCTAAGCTCAAAACTTTTTTGGGCGGAAAGAAATTTGCCACAAATGATGAAGTCATAGCCGCCGTAGAGGAGTATTTTGCAGGCCTCGAAAGAAATCATTTTCTGGAAGGCATTACTGCTTTAGAACGAAGATGGAATAAGTGTGTAGCGGTTCACGGAGAGTATGTCGAAAAATAAAATTAATTTTATCACGGAAAGTTAAGTGTTTTCTTATTAGGCTAGTTACTTATCATCCCGCCCTCGTACCTATAAAATGTATTTACCTAAGAAATTTATGTTTATCAGATAGCAAGTAACCATAGTACATGCTTTGCTTTTAGTTTGGGACTAGAGGACATTGTGTAAAAATATGTCCTAAAATATATATATAAAAAACATGATTTTACTCACCCAAGAATTATAACAGGAGCCAAATAAGAGACCACCGAAGGACTGGCCGCCTGAAGGGGCCATAAAGTTTGAAAACCTTAGTCTCAAATACTCCCCCGACGGCAATTACGTGCTACATAAGCTTCAATTCGATGTACGTCCCAAGGAAAAGGTATTGTAATGTCATATTAAAAGCAAAATTGATATTTAAAAATATGTTTCAATTCATCATCTATAACGGTTAGGACTCTTAACTTTGTGAATGCATCTTTTTTTTCAACCAACTTCAAAAAAGGAGGAGGTTCTAAATTCGCCTGTATTTTTTTTTATATTTGTTACCTCAGAACTTTTCACTGAGAGAACCGATTTTGATGATACTTTTTTTTATTTGAAAACTGGAGCATCCCATGTGGTCCCATATTAATTTCATTGGTATTGGATCTTGGGCTCCGGGGATACTAAGCAACTCCTGAAAATCAATTATAAAATGAATACAGTGCGAGATGTTTGAAGTCGGTTTTTTTTTTTTCCTTAATTATTAAATGGACTTGTTTACATGGCAAGTACTGTATTCGGACGTCATTGCAGTCTGCCGGCGCCGACTGTTTGGATTTTTTTTTTTTTAATTAGTAAAAAGTATTCAGTAATAATTAATATCATTGCGGTCTCTGATACTAACGACGCTATAACCTCTAGTAACCGAAGTTGCATTTATATATAGTTCACTAATTTTCCCACGTTTACAATAAAGAGAAGTATCGAGTCTAATGAGTCTTCATAAGATTTACCATAACAATGCGCAAGCGAGATGTTTCAAAAGTTAGGTAATGAATTAAACGATTTCTTAGTGAACTCTTGCCTGATACAGGGTCTATATTTATTATTGGCCTATGTTTATACACAAATGAGGTTAGTTAAACATGATCAACCTTAGTCGTGTTCCGGTTACCGTCTATAATAATGTTCGCAGATTGGTATCGTTGGTAGAACCGGTGCAGGGAAATCTTCCATCATCCAAGCTTTGTTCAGGCTTGCGTATTTGGATGGGACAATCACCATCGACGGCATAGACATAACTTCCATCGGATTACATGACCTACGGGAAAAGATATCTATAATTCCTCAAGTAAATAATATTATTAATAAACACATTTTGCCTTTAAATCTTAAAAGTATACATTAGTAACCAAATAATGCATAACAAATAGTTGTGACACTGACTTTTCTAACGAAACATGCTAGTATCATCTTAACACCACTAAATATAGTCACGAACGAAATAAAGCAAATAATTGTACAATATTATTTGCCGCTTAAGGTCTGAAATGAATGTTCGGTATAACTTTGCGATTGGAAAAATATTGTGGAGCATAAACACGAATACTTTATTTTATATAATAGGTTGTTTTATATAATTTAACACTATGAGTGGTCATTAAGGGTGAGTTGGCGGGTACAATTCTCAGTTGCATGCACATGGGATAAGAAGAATGCCATATCTATTTCGACCTGCCAACTATTTGAAGCAAGCCATGAAATAGTAAGGCAAAATTTTTCTAATACCCTCAGTGTGGTGTCGAAGCTCAGTGTGGAGGTGGTCGCTTTTTAATTCATCATGCTGCAGTAAACTGAGTTCTATTCTATTTGCAGGCACTAATGAATTAAGTATATTAAACTGAAATTATTAAAAATTTCAGGAGCCAGTATTGTTTAGTGGCACTTTGAGGAAAAATTTAGATCCCTTCGACGAGTACCCAGATGAATTGCTCCTGAATGCTCTAAACAACGTCGAGCTCTTGAATGCAGACGATGGCGTTGGTATATTAAACGTTTTTTTTAATACATGCTGACCAAAAATTGCATATATTTACTAAAACTACGAGCTAAAAACTGCGTTTGGATATGTCATCTGCTTAGTCCATTCCATTTTCGTGATATAGTAGACTATTCGAATCTTCACAGTTGAAAGTGTTAATCGAAAAATGTTAAGTTTAAATACCAACAATATTATAACAGGCGCTTGATATTATACTGTTTACATTAGTAGATATTGTAATGGTCTAAATATAAAACATCGTTTTTATTAATAACATCGTTTTCATCGCTCATTATTTTGCCTCACGGACAGATATACTTAATACTTTATACCAAGATGCCATATGGATCATAAGAACTATTTGACGTGATCTCACTGTATCGTAGCTGCGAGCAAAACGTCAATTTTATCAAGTATTTTTTTTTATTTATATAACAACAGTTGATAGCACTAACAGAAAGTAGTTGCACTACATTAAGATCTATCTTTCATTGTTTTACCGAGTTTGAATGCCAACGTTACTTCTTTCATTGTTTTACCGAGTGGAGCCGATCACGACTTACAAAACGAAGCTATTCAGATGCCACTATAACAAAATAATTAAGATAAAAGCGTGGAGGCAAAAGATGACAAAGAATTAAAAGGTTCTAAAAATTTGAACGTAATATCAATATTACAGATATTGATATTCTGTTCGTCATCATCTTCATCACTTCAGTCTGTTCGAGTCCACTGCTAAACATGGGCCTAGCCACAGGCTGCCACGAAGTACGATACTGACCTACCAGCATCCATCACTTCCTTTTGAGCCGCTAGACTAGACTAAACTCCGCGCCGATTATGACCTCCTGGTAATTCACACGTCACGGAGCAACTATTGTTGCAACGGTCGGTCACTCCCATATCTAGTAAAGGCTAGTTGTTTTTTTGTTGTTATCGTTTGTTTGTTTGATATTCAATTCAAGTCTGTGATAGATGTAATATCATTTTTTTCTTCCAGTTTTAGCCTAATTGTAAATTGTAATGATTACTTTTATTTCATATTGATAATTTTATTTTTTTCTTAATGTGCTGTTCATGATTTTGTACGTTGTTTGTACCTATGGAGCGACACCAATCTTGAGCTTTAGTTTCTTTTTAACTTATGATATTGTCTCCTCAGTTAGCGCAGCTAAATAAATCGATAAATTATACCGTTAAATGTCGTTCCCAGGCGCGCTGTACAAGCCGGTGTCGGAGTGCGGCGCCAACTTCAGCGTGGGCGAGCGGCAGCTGGTGTGCCTCGCGCGCGCCATCGCCCGCGACGAGCGCGTGCTCCTAATGGACGAGGCGACCGCCAACGTGGACGCGCAGACCGACGCGCTCATCCAGGCCGCGATACGGCTCCACTTCCGCGCGTGCACCGTGCTTACTGTCGCGCACCGGCTCAACACCGTCATAGACTCCGATAAGGCGAGCCATCAAGTCCATTAACCGTATAAATATTATGCTCTCCTGGTACTCGATCGTCACGGCGCAGCTATGTATTGTTGCATAAAATATATTTTTTAATCGCAATGGAAATCTGCTTGTAACGTATACAAACATGCTCGCTCGCTCCCAGCTTGAAGACGCAAACGTGACGAAGACGTGCTCAAGGTCAACACCGTCATAGACTGAAAAGGCGAGCCGTTATGCTAAACTCCGCGATGATTATGCTCTCCTGGTAGTTGAACATCACGCGGCAAATATGTATTATTGCATAAAAAATACATTTTTTATGGCACATGAAGTCGCCATACTCGCAATTCAATTTGCATGCTCGCTAGCTCGCAGCTTTTGACAATGAAGACGCAAACGTGACGAAGACGTGCTCACGGTCAACACCGCACAATAGACTGATAAGGCGAGCCGTTATGCTAAACTCCGCGACGACTATGCTCTCCTGGTACTTGAACATCACGCGGCAACTATGTATTGTTGCATAATATAATTAATAATTTTTTTTTTGGCACTGGAAATCTGACGTACCCTAATTGTTCAATTTGTAATACGTTCTCACGCATTGGCACCTTTTGACGATAAAGACGCCAATGTGTACGCGCCGACCACTTCCACGCGACCACCGGGCGCGCACCGGCTAAACACCGTCATAGATTCCGATAATGCGAGCCTCTGTACCAAACTCCGCGCCAATTATGCTCTCCTGGTACTTTAACGTCACGAGGCAACTATTGTTGCATATATTTTTTTCCATTGGCGATGAAAACCTGACGTAATTGGCAAATTCTGCCATATACTTAAAAACACATTTATTTGACGGTAGCAGATACCTAATGTTAATCACGTTTTGTAACTTGACAGGCGAGCCTATATCGAGCACAAGATTTGTAAGTGATTGACAAGCAAGGAATCCGAAAATTCCTTGAAATACGCAACGGAGATTTGAACCCGCGACCTTAATATTGCAAATCAAAGATCTTAACCACCACCACTATTACTGACTGATTTTTTTTTCTGTTGTTGAGTTCTCATTATTTAAGTACGTTTGTTGAAAATGCTTTTATTACACAATAGCGCATAGACCTAATACTTTTCTTTTAGTTTGCTAGGAACCGAACCGAACCTGAAGCAAGTAACCTAACATTCTACCTCATAATTAGCATTCGACAGTATTCAACATTAAATATTTAATTTTTATCGTGGTCACCCATTGTGCAACGGCTTAGAACAGCTACAAGACAGATAAGGTGTGTAGTACATGCTTTGGATCGCGTTAAATTTTGCGTCGCATGATAATTATGTGGACGGCAAAATTAAACGAAGCGAGAATTAACCTACTAAAATATTAAATAACATAATAAAATAGGGTTTATTATTTGTCCTGCTCCATTTGGAACAGAGTCGTCAGTCATTAGGACTCCAGCACATGATACGCATTGCTTTATCGATGGGATTTCTGAACAAGCAAAACAACAAGTTGCATTCCACATGGATTATGTTCTCTTGGTAGAATCAGATCACGAAAACATCTGTTAGTTGCCAGATATTCCACTCACATTTATATAATTATTTGTAATAATTATTTGTAATAATCGGGTAGATATATTTTATAGTATATAGTTGTGTTTTATCTCTGTATTCTATGAGAAAAATAAAAAACGTAAGAAAGATTGTTTCTGTCGCAACAGTATCACTATTTTTATGAACTCCTAGTACCGTATTCTTTTACGGCGATTCTTACCTAATAAACCACTGAACGCTGACCACTGGAAGCCGCACGTACAAGTAAAAGTGATTGTACTGAGAGTTGTGGTGCTATTTATGTTAATAAATAGCACCACAACTCTAAGTAACAGGTATCACGCGCCGTTAAACAAAAATTAACTTATTTGTTAGTTCAACAAGTCTACACATCCCTAAAACAGCCTCGCCGTACGGTTTGTAAGCCCCGCTCCGTCGTCACGGTATAGTTATTCGTTATGTCATTTCGGAGCGACAATAATGCTTCCATGTTTATTTGCGTTAACTGTACCTGACCATGAGCAAAGAGTAGGTACACCATGATCAACATTCGACCAACGAAAGAGAACAAGGAAGTCCCTCTAAGTAGGAACTACTTGTACAACGAATGTTCGCCTAGTAAGACGTAATCATGATAATGATTTTTAACAGAAGATTATTGATGAATTAGTCAATAAATAAAAAAAATGAGCTGTCACGGGACGCCTGGTAGATGTGAAACATCGACATTATTTTGTAAAAGTAATATGCAGAAAAGAACAGATTGTGATAGGAACTAAATATATCATAATGATAAAAAAAAATATTACGATTTTTTTTCCAGATAACGATGACTATTTATTGAATAAACATTTATTTTCATTAAATACAAAAATTTACGAATTTATTTCAAATCGTGACTACTTAATTCGTTTAATCAGTTAGTACACACAATTAATTAATGTTAATTTAATTAATTAATAATTAATTAATAATTATTAACAATTAATTTAAGTTTGAGTAATTAATCGTACACACTACTGCATATAGGCTGTATATATATATACCATCATATAGCGTGGCGACACGTCGCCACGGCATGCGTCGCCACGCCAGAAATCGGTTTTACGTGCGGCTATAGATGTTTCACATCAAAAACGTGCAAAATACGGCATGACCAATGTATTTCACGACTGTTAATTAATAATAAATAGTAATTACCTATCGCATATCTCGCATATCACATTTATTTATGTGAAAAGTTGGCAAGCGTGCAGGCGGTTCGCCAAATGTTAAGTGATAACACCCATTGACATTTGAAACACCCATAGGGTTGCAGATGCGTTGCCACCTTTTAAAAAGTGGGCCCTGGCGACGTCACTCACCCGATGAAACGCATAACTAAGTATAACACCAACTATCTTATCTAGTCTTACCAACTAGCTAGTTAGTGTAAGGTCTTTGTGAGTTCCAGCACTTCACTTGACGCCGTTCTTCTGTGTGGTCGTGGTACTTAGCCGGACGTAGCTGCCCATTCGTGCAACAGGGAAGGATGTTGCGTGGCCATACAATAAGATATAAAATTACTATTGCGTTGATTTCATGTTTTGGGTCATGAAGTATTATTATTTTTATTATTACTTTTCAAGTATATAATCAAAGGTGACGTGACAAAAGTTGCGATCTGTAAAGTCTGTGTTAGATGCAAAAGATTCTACAACTCCTAATCGGTTATGTTCTCCTTGTCGATTTATTTACAATTGCATAGTACATGTAATTTTTTTAATTTATGGTTAATTAATAAGACGCCACTTGTCTTTATTTACTTACCAATTATGCGGCATGCAATGCTACTTACAGAAAAAAGGTGGTTACAAAAGTTTTTTTTAAGTGAAAACTTCTATAGGGACGTTGTCCAATTGTGAATGGGGAAAAATATATATCATACATAAGTTCGATTCACCGACATGATGGTGGGTTCTAATAACTTCTTTCATGGGAAACCTTTACCCAGCAGTAGGACATAATAATTTGCCTGTTACTTTACTTTATTAAACTATGCTAGTAATGTTATATAATTTTATGTTCACACAAAGTATAAAGTTGTGAGCTTAGTATAGTGCTGCCTATTGTCATATATTTGCGAGATTTTTCTTGAGCGAGATTACCTTAAATTAAAATTGGGAGAAAATTTTAATTTGTAGAAACAAGGACGAAAAGTTTTTCGCCTCTGCGGGAATCGAACCCACATCTTCAGGATTCGCGCCCAGACGCTTTAACCACTAAGCTAAACGGCTGATGCCCAACCCGATGAAAATCTTAAATCTTCTTATTTGAACTGTTTTTACGCATTTCAAGCAATGCTTGGCGCGTCTATTGTTATATACTATACAGCATAAAAACAATGTTTCATCTTAAGTGCAGAGATTAGCACATTAAAAAAAATATATCAAATGCTAGAGGTGGTGTTGCACCATGAAGTTTCTGCTACGACTCTAAAAAATCATGGATCCGGGGCTGCCCATACCAAGTTATTACTGTGTTGTGTCTGACGTTATATTATAAACCACCAAAATCATAAAAGGGGGCAATCAAGCTTGAAAACACTTCTGTCGTTATAGCTCCGATTGACCTTAATACAGTATATACGTTATTAGGTCATGATCCTTATGTATATTGCGTGTTACATTATTTTTTATTTCCGTATTTAATCTAAGTAGAAGTTGTCTTCTCACAGATACTGGTGTTGGACGCAGGTAGACTGATGGAATACGACCACCCTCACGTGCTCCTACAGAACAAGAAGGGTTACTTTCGGAAAATGGTCGCAGAAACGGGACCGGCCATGGCGCCATTATTGCATAAGTTGGCAAAAGAGGTAATAATATATGCTTTTTTCATTCAGGGCAGAACACTCACCATAAATCTTCCAGAAAATCTATCAAGCGTGTCAGAAATATAGAGATTGACACAGCTATATTTGTATTGTATCGATCGAGTCGAATGCTTTAGATTTCTTATGGAAATATACAGCGTGTCGTAACAACCGCTACAATAAATGAATACACATATTATACATTTTATACAATTTTAAAATGATATTAAACATTTACATTCTTTAAATATCAATATTTACAGAGTTATTAAATTTTCCAAAACAAACAATTTTAGAACCCTTACATTTCATTTGTTAAGGTCACAAAGCTTATGAATGGGTTGAATGAATTAAAAAGAGATAAAACATACTGTTAGAAGAAATTTGTAATGCGACGCTATGGCAAAGAATGAAAAAGTCTCTGAATGTATGAATCAGTCAGTTGTATAAGTTATATGGGATGTTCCAAATTTTGTTTATTTTTTATTTAATTAGTTTGTTTGAAAAATATTTTTTGTTATTATGGATTTTTATAACGCTTATATTTTTTATGATTATTGGCCGGTAGCGTTAGACGTGTGTTCATTTATTGTCGTGGTTGTAACGACACGCTGTATAAATAAGATTTTTTTCAAGAAAGCTGGCGGTTCACCTGATAACCGCCGTCCATTGCATTTGCAACTCCCGTAGGGTTGCAGTTAGTCTGCAGTCAGTTGCAATCTTTTGAAAATAGGGGTCCCGGTTATCTCACTCACCAGACGACGCGTAGAAATATAACTCTTCCACTTCCCCAGTCTTCTGTGAGGTCGTGGTACTTCCCCGGACGGACCTGCCCATTCGTGCAACAGCGAAGACTGTTACGTTGCCCTACCACAGTTAGATTTCAGTTGTGAATTGCATCGGAATATAGACCTTACCCGTACGAACCCTAAAAATTGCATTAAAACCTGCATCCTCCGGGATACGGTTATTTAAGAATTTCTTTACGAAAAAAATAGCTAAAACGGGGAAGGACCAGAAAGTACCTAATACTGCCGCGAAGTTTTACCTCGCATTTTCTTCGTATTTACTGTTGCATGTTTACTCAGCGTTTTGCAACAACCATGCCACCTCTCTGGTGTTTTGTATCCACGGACGTTACTTATCACGTGAACTGCTGCCATCCCTTAAAATTAAAAAAAAGATGCACAGCGACGCATAAAAGCATCAGTTTAGGATTATTGTTTACCAGACGTTTAACACCATTTCGTTAGATAACTGTTTCATTACAAATGCCTATTGTTACAGAGTTACAAAAATATGAAAAAAGACGATTGAAGAAAACTACATGTATTTTTAGATACATTTTATTAAATAATTCACATAGATTTTTAATAATTTGCGTTATACTTTATGTTACATGAGTAAATAATACTATTACTTTAATTATAATTAAACATACTTGTATTCTGTAATAAGTATTCATGAATTAAACGGTCTCCATATTGCAGTTGAGGCTTGCTAACTGTAGTTCCATCCTTTTCTTAAATCCTTGAATTATATTGTCCATTCGTCTGAAAGAAAAAAACCAAACATCTAAATCCAATTGTTTTTATCACCGTCATTATTTCAGCCTGTTTTAGTCCACTGCTGAACATAGGCCTCCCTCACAGTCTGCCCGCAAACAAGATATGACCCACCTGCATTACAGCTCATTAGTAAGCTGAAATAGCAATAGGCCAGGCATATAACATTAGAATAGTGCAAATTTTGCAGTTTTATTATATTAATCAGAACCTACATTTTTTTTATGTAAAAAGATGGCAATCGATCCGGCGGTGCACCTGATATTATATGATAACCGCCACCCATGGACATTTGCAATAACCGTTGGGTTGCAGATGCGTTGCCCCCTTCTCATAAAGTGGGCTCCGGCTACCTCACTCACCAGACGAAACGTTGAAGTATAACACTTCCACTACACGCCGGTCTTGGGTAAGGTCGTGGTACTTACCCGGGCGGAGCTGACCATTCGTGTTGCAGCGAACTGCTACGTAGTTAATCTAAAGCTATATGAACAAACTATAATTATACGTAATATATAATAAATACTCACGTTTTGTCTTCTTCGTTTTCTAACGGAGGAAGACCTGCCAAAGCCTCCATAAGGTAGTTTCTGAAAAGGGAAATTTGTTATATAATATTTCTTTAAATTTCTTATGTCCTTAGGTATTTACTTAAGTCAAAAAATATTTTATTGATGCAGCACCATATTCTCTGCAAAGCAATCCAAAAATCCCTCATTAAAAGTAAAATAATTCAGAACAAGCTTAACTAAAGCTATCTTTCGATCGAAAAAGATCATAAAAATAAATACATATTAAAATTTTTATATTGCAAATATCGTTCGAATTATCGCTGTAAAACCTTAAATTGTTTGTGTGCTGTAAGACATAACAAAAAATTAGAAAAAAACAAAGTAGGATAGGTTGAGTCGTTGGCGTGTCAATCAGCTGTTTAGATTAGTGGTTAAATCGTCGATTGCGCGATTCCGGAAGTCACGGGTCTGATTCCCGATATTTTTTTTATTTTTACGCAAATTCTTTTCCGCATTTAAGTTTACGGGTAAGGCGAGGTATTTGAACTTCTTATGTTTAAAATTAATAAAGATAGAGATTTCTCTACCGGATACGAAAATTATCTTTTGCACTTAACAACACATCAGTAAAGAAATATGTTGTTACCAGCGACCCGCCCCGCCCCGACTTCGCACGGGTGCAACGTATTATACATATAAACCTTCCTCTTGAATTACTCTATCTAATAAAAAAAGCCTCATCAAAATCCGTTGCGTAGTTTTAAAGATCTAAGCATAAATATTGACAGACAGACAGCGGGACAACTTGTTTTATTACTATGTAGGTAGTGAATTTAAAAAAAAAAAAAAAGCAATGGAAAAGGTGCTAATAAGATTGCAACGAAATGTGAAAACAAAACCGACTAAAATCACCTGACTCCGCGCAAATATACCTTCGCGTAAATACTAGAATGCTTAAAGTAAAAGGTAAATTGTACAGCCAATCATATACGTCCCACTGCTGGGCAAAGGCGTCCGTTTTTCAATACTGAGGGTATAAGGGCGTAATCCACCACGCTACCCCACTGCGGATTTGCAGACTTCGCATATTTTCAAAACATTTCATCTTTCACACTTACTCAGCTTACTGTAGCGTAAGGACATTATCCATACAGATAAATAAAATTGGAGTGTCTGTTTGTAATATTAAAATAACCGCTTTTTACTAAATGCATATGGATGTATACACGGTACATATACCAAAACATTTTTTACAATTTTCGTCTGTCTGTCTGTCTGTTTGTTCCGGCTAATCTCTGAAACGATTGGACCGATTTGGACGGGACTTTCACTGATAGATAGCTGTTGTAATAAGGAGTAACTTAGGCTACTTTTATTTCAGATTTTATTTTATTTTAAATTCCACGCGGACGAAGTAGCGGGCACAGCTAGTACATACATAAATTTCACGTGGACAAACACCGAAATCCGAAACAATTCTCACCTTTAGAATTGAAGGGACCTAATTAAGAAAATCATCATTTTGATTTTATGGCCGGAAACAACTCAAAACGACTAACTTTTTTGTCTCTTATTTAAGGCCGATTTTGGCGGAGAAAAAACTACAACACGTATAATTTGGTCCTTTTCACTACCCTACAATCACCGCGTTTGTTCTTAAGTGCACAAATCTTTATTTTACGTTACAAATAATTTTTTTTTTTTTTAAATAGGTCACTATAATTCTATACAGCGTGTCGCTACCATCGCGACAATAAATGAACACACATATAGGGGATAAGTTTTTAAAGTTGTATTAAACGTTTAAATTCTTTAAACATCAATATTTACAGAGTTATTAAATTTTCCAAAACAAAGAATTTTAGAACACCCTTACCTATAAAAACGTAACGTAAAGTTCATTTGTAAAGGTCACAAAGCATATGAATGGGTTGAATGAATTTAAAAGAGACAAAACATACTGTTAGAAGGAAAGGCTTGTAATACGACGCTGTGGCGCGAGTTGTATAGGATGTTAGAAGAAATTTTGTTTCTTTTTTACTTAATTAGTTTGAAAAATATTTTTTTTGAATTATGGATTTTGTTTAACGTTAATATTTTTTTATGATTATTGGCTCGTAGCGTAAAGGCCCATTTACACGGTGCAAGTTTCTTGCCTGTTGTATACAATTAAATTGAAGCAATAAATGAGTTGCATTGTCTAAACAGCACATAACATTCTTGACTGTTGAACAAGACTTGCTTCAAGTTTTGTTTCAAAACTTTCCTTGGTGTAAACAGCACACACAATAATTTCTTAAGCAATTCTTGTATTCAATTGCATTCTCTCTTCCTTCGCAAAAATGAGTGCAATGAGTGAGGGTATTTAATCGTTGCTGTTCTTTTGAGGCAAGAAATATTGAGAAAAGGTCGTAAAAAAAGTTGGATAAAAATATGAATAATAATATATGGATCATAATAAATAAATCTCAATGAAATATATTGAATCGGCATAATCTAACTTGAACACTTATTATTGAGCCATTTTTTAAAAAAAAAAACAGCCCTTTGTAAAACGTTCAACACTTGCATGAAAAATTTGTCAACGCAAATACGTGCAATACTTGAAGCAACACGCCAATAAATTGTACACGCACATACAAGCATGTGTTTAGACAAGTCAAAACTTGAAAGCAATAATCGCCTAAACATAATTGCATTGGTGTAAACAAAAGACATTTGCAATTATTCTTGTCAAGACTTGCATTCATTCATAATCGCATTCAATTTTTTTTACTATATCTGCGTGTAAACTGTTGCTTACAATTCTTGATGGTCAATTATTGCGTGCAACTTATTGCATTCAATTATTGCTCTTGTATTTACAAGAAAATGGCATCGTGTAAATGGGCCTTTAGACGTGTGTTCATTTATTGTCGCGATGGTAACGACACGCTGTATAAAAAGGTGCGAATTATTTGTGTGACACAAATAGTTGTCCCGTGCGGGAGTCGAACCCACGACCACCGGCGCCAAAGCCAGCAGGAAGGCCACGCAGCAGCCTCGGCTGTTGCCCACGAATGGGCAGGCTCGTCCGTGTAAGTACCACGACCTCACAGAAGACTGGCGTAAAGTGGAAGTATAATACTTTTTCGAATGCTTGTCAACGCATCTCCCTCGGGTGTGGCAGATGTCCATGGGCGTTCGTATTCACTTAACATCAGGTGAACCGTCTACTGGCTCGGCAATTTTTCACATTGAAAAAAGACAGTGCCCCCCTCCCCTGCGGGCGACTCACTCGGCCTTCCTGGTGAGGTGTTCGGCGACCGCGACCCGCAGCAGGGTGTACTCGAGCCGCGCCTGGAAAGCGGCCGCGCGGTTCATCGCGGGCGGCGCGCACGCCGCCAGACGCGCTATCTCCTCGCACACGGTCTCGCAGATGTCGCGAACGTAGCGCGAGGACGCCGCGCCGCACACGCTGTCCACCTGCACGGGAGGTATTACATAACGGAGCCGCTTTGAAAGATGCCGCGCACGTAATGCGAAGACATGCCGCACGTGACACGAAAACTTCGCGCACGTGACACGCATGAGCACATAGATAAGACATATACAGCTTGTCGTTACCATCACGACAATAAATGAACACACGTCTATCGCTACTTGCCAATAATCATAAAAAAATATTAACGTTAAACAAAATCCATAATTAAAAAAAAGTATTTTTCAAACAAACTAATTAAGTAAAAAAGAAACAAAATTTCTAACATCCTATACAACTCGCGCCACAGCGTCGCATTACAAGCCTCTCCTTCTAACAGTATGTTTTGTCTCTTTTAAATTCATTCATCCCATTCATATGCTTTGTGACCTTTACAAATGAACTTTACGTTACAGTTTTATACGTAAGGGGTAATTCTTTGTTTTGGAAAATTTGATAACTCGGTAAATATTGATGTTTAAAGAATGTAAATATTTAATACAATGTTAAAAAGTTATCCTCTATATGTGTGTTCATTTATTGTCGCGATGGGAAAGACACGCTGTATACTGAAATGAGCACGTGCGCGGTCCTACCCACTCTGGAGGGCCGGGCCTCAAACCCGTGGGTTCTGACTAGTACGATGAAGCTTTAATAGTCTCAGGACTGAATCTGTTAATACAATACACTGTACTTATCGGAGTCGCTTTAAAAGATATCGCGGAAGTTTACCAAATTATAATACTTCTACCAAAATATATTCTTACACTTACGTTTTTATATACTTTACTTTTCGGAATGCAGTTGCATCCAAATGCAGTTGCAGCCAAATGCAGTTACATCAATACTCACAACGCGTATTTAGTATTATTATTAGTACCGCTTCTTTTTGCAACTCTCTGTCTTTGGGTCATTTTATGGCCTAAACGGCCTTACAAAAATTGCCATAGCGGTAGGTATTTCACGACCACAAGGCGGGGTATTGGTAAAGTTTTCAACTAGCAATAATCGCACCTCGGATTAACCTCATTGGTTACGATATTGCCTCTGCGCAAAGTTAACCTCACAGAAATACTCGCGACCTTATGATGTTCCTCGGGTGGACAAACGATACCGCGATTTAGGTGCCCCATAGCGCCATCTATTGACACTGCAAAGGAACTATTTTCCAGACCTAAAATACCAAAAATTATTGTGCTGCTGAGACCAACAACAATTTAATTATACTAATGTACATTATAAATATTGAAAAATACTTCTCTGTAGTGAACACAAATACCTAAACACAAAGAGATAATAAACTACGGCTAATGATATGATGATAGTGGAATTAATTTCATATTAAAGTATTATTGCACTTACTTTTGAGGATAATTAAGGATTTTAATGTTATCGTTTCAGGAATTGATCTTCTTATTGTTTAATTATTAAACAAAGCTAATAACAATGAAAGCTGTTATAAAAATATTGTTTAAATAAAATAAACGTTATGAATGTCAAACCATTTATATGTAGATAACTTTTCTTCTTTTGAACTTTATTTGTGTATTACGATTTAATGTTTTTATGTGTTGTGCGTAACTTGTTATGTGTGCCGCCTATGAAAGTTGTTCGACAAAAAAAAAAGTACGTGTGTACTTACGCACGTAAATACTTCTTTAGCGTAAAGCCATTAAACGCAATGCAATTGATATCAGTTTATTTAAATAACATGGAATTAAAAAGTAACAACCTAAAGTATATATATCCCGCTGAGTAAAGGCCTACTCTGTATAGAGGGTTTTAGGGCATACGCGGCCCACTGCGGATTGGACTTCGAACTGGAAGTGTTACACTTCTGCGTTTCGACCGGTCGAACCGGCGGCTCGTTCGCCGTTTCTCACATTAAAAAAAAAGCAAGCGTAACTTCGAAAAGCTGCGCGCGCACCTCCGCGTGGACGGCGATCAGGTTGTTGACGATCTCGTAGACGTAGGGGCGGGCGTCGTCGACGGGCGCGTCCGCGTCGGCCTGGTGGCGGCCCATGTACATGCTCGGCTCTATCGTGCCGACGAGCGGGTCGCCCTTGTGCTCCAGGTAGGTCTCCGCGATGCTCGACTCGAGCGCGCTCAGCGCCTCCCTCGTCGCCTGCATCGCCTGCGTCGGCTCGGGCAGCCCGTAGCTGGAGCGAAATGTATTATTTATTGAATACTAGCTTTTCGCCCACGGCTTCGCTCGCGTTAAATAAATATCTTTCTTTAAAAACTATATATATTTTTAAAGATAGATATTTTCAACCCTTTATAATACTTTTTTCCAAGTAAAAAATAGCCTATGTCCTTTCTCAGATTCTAGACTACTAAACTGTGTACTAAATTTCGTTTCAATCGGTTGAGCAGTTTTGGCGTGAAAGCGAGACAGACAGAGTTACTTTCACATTTATAATATTAGTATGGATAAGGCGGTGTGAAATTCAAAACGGAAACCATCTTCAGCTTTTTTTTTAACTAGCGGCCTAATGAACATTCGTTTGAATGTTCATTAGGTCCAGTGATAGAAGCCATTCTCTTTTCAACTAAACGTTTTTCAACTAAAAGTATTTTTATATTTCGAAATGATGACCCGCATCTACACAGCAACGGATTACACTCATATGACACATCATACTTCAAAAATGATGATTTAATTACATCGAGAATGCAACATTTCTTTAGATATTAGACAAAGGAGCTTTCTCTCCTCTCATTAATGAATGAGTTAAATTAGACAAAGCAAATGCAAATACCGCTCGAAATAGTGCGATGGCTTTTTCTCACACACGCACACGTTACCAATAACACTACGTCAGATTGCATTGCCGGGCCAATAGATTGCGAAAATAGATTTTGAGTTTAAAAATCTATATGCTTCAGAGTAATTAATCACCGTCCCCATTGACGATTTTCTTAAAAAGACCAAAATTCCAGCATGCCGGCCGACTAAAGCCATGCAGAAGACTGCAGCACATTTTTTTCCCTGCACATTAATGTCTATAAAGATTCAATATCGAACATTGAAAGACAATTGTGCAGCAATGTACATTTCAATTTGAATAATAATTAACGAGTAAATTAAAAAAGTGGTTGTATTTTCTGAGCGAAATATTTTTTACGAAAGGTCATCTTTCCTTTCTTATAAAATCGTATACAAAAACACGAATATGGACTAGGATCACCATTCAAGAAGAGCACAGATCCGGAGATTTTTTAACTCAGTTTTTCTATAAAATAAAACATTATACTACGGTCAACACATGTACACAACATCGCGGAACGCCACTGCAAGTACACTCAACGCCGTGCGACACGTTTACTCGCAAGTGTCGTGTAAACGGCACACCGGTCAGTCAACACTACATACGTACATAACACGGGCGTGTACACTCAACGCCGTGCGCCACGATTACTCGCAAGTGTCGCGTAAACGGCACACGGGCCAGTCAACACTATACACGTACATAACACGGGCGGGTACACTCAATGCCGTGCGCCACGATTACTCGCAAGTGTCGCGTAAACGGCACACGGGCCAGTCAACACTACACGTACATAATACGGGCGGGTACACTCAATGCCGTGCCACACGATACTCCACGCCCACCTGTCGAACGCGGCCGCTATGTTCGCGAGCGTCCGCCGGCGAGCGTACTGCGCGTTGGCGCCGGCGATGAGCAGCCGCTGCTGCCAGCTGCGCCCGCCCGCCTCGCCCGCCTCCAGCGCCTCGTCCAGCCGCTGGTCCAGCGCCACCGACAGGCTCGTGTTGTTGAAGTCCTGAAATGCGCCAGAGTAGGTAGATAAATTTCGCCGTGCAGAGTGCGATTGATGGCTGATGTGTTATTATAATCATAAATCATATAATCAATCATTCATTAATTGATTATATACTTATAAATACTTGTATAGTATTCGATCTCTATTGCTTGAAAAATAGTATATGATGAATATAACGTTTTTCCATTGTCCGAGTGTTTATATGTCTATAATTTGTATTAATTAAAAAATAGGTACTCCTTTTGGCAGTTTGAAAACATTATTAGATTAAAAGTTTACAATACGCGCGCACAGAGATTGCAAAGCGACCAATGTGTACAACGTATACATTATTATATATTTCGATATTACTACGGCCACCAATAACAACTTTTTGACATTTACCTATAACTACAAGTTAATAAGTATATACACATTTTTCTTTCATGCAAGAAGATGGCAAGCGAGCTGTCTTCTCACCTGATGTTGTTAAAGTCTACGTCGCTATACTGCGAGTTGGCGAAACGGGCCGACGCGGTCGTGGCAACAAACTCCACTACTAATCTACTGCGAGTTGTTGAAACGTCTCGATGCCGACCTGGTCGTGGCGCAGCGCCAGCTCCTGCAGCACGGCCACGAAGGCGAGCAGCGTCTGCTGCACGTGGCGCTGCAGCGCCGCCAGCGGTTCCCCGCCGTCGGCCAGCAGGGGCCGCTCGCGGCGGCCGCACCACAGCACGCACTTGTTGATCGACGCCAGCGCCTCACCCACGTGGCCCTCGAGAGTGTGCGGCTGCGGAGCGGCGGACGGCTCTTGGGGTTCCGTGCCCGGAGGGTGAAACGGGACCCCATTACTAAGACTTCGCTGTCTGTCTGTCAGTCTGTCTATCTGTCAGTCTGTCTATCAGTCTATCTGTCAGTCTATCTGTCAGTCTGTCTGTCTGTCTGTCTGTCTGTCTGTCTGTCTGTCTGTCTGTCTGTCTGTCTGTCTGTCTGTCTGTCAGTCTGTCTGTCTGTCTGTCTGTCTGTCTGTCTGTCTGTCTGTCTGTCAGTCTGTCTGTCTGTCTGTCTATCAGTCTGTCTGTCAGTCTGTCTGTCAGTCTGTCTATCAGTCTGTCTGTCTGTCAGTCTGTCTGTCAGTCTGTCTGTCAGTCTGTCTGTCAGTCTGTCTGTCAGTCTGTCTATCAGTCTGTCTGTCAGTCAGTCTGTCCATCTGTCTGTCTGTCAGTCTGTCTATCCGTCTATCACCAGGTGCAGTTTATATATTTATAAGTTTCAGGTGTAATCATAATGTTCAAGGAATACAGTGAGTGATATATATTTCTTTAATAATAAGCACTTTTATTATGTTGCTTCAAATTGTAAAGTTTCCACGTTAGTTACTACTACCTTATGTATCACATATAAAATTTGATGATTTTTAGGATTCTGTATCCAAAAGATAAAACGAGACCCTATTACTAAGACTCGGCTGTTTGTCTATCTGCCTGCCTGTCGGTCTGTCTGTACGTCTGTAACCAAGTTGTATCTCATGAACCGTGATAGTTAGACAGTTGAAATTTTCACAGATGATGTATTTCTGTTGCAGCTATAAGGCTACAAAACGGAATAAAAAATTTTTAAGTGAGGCTCCCATACAACAGACATTTTTTGCTGAACGAAGTAACTGCTATCCCGCATATTAGGTAGATTTCCAAGGAGGGTATCACTAAACAACAAGTTGACCGCCTTGCCACTTACATCTTATAGAAAATTATAATTATTATAAAATATAATCAAAATCGCATGAGGCAGATATCATAAAAAGATGGTATAAAAACCTGCCTTTTATTCAACAGTGGGCTGTCGCAATCTTATTGTTGTTGTGTTTTTAATAATAATAATAAATATATTTCGGATATTTTTTTTTTATATTAGGTTCTACACAACGTTCTCTAGTCCCAAACTAAACAACGCTTGTACTATGGGTATTAGATAACTACTAATGGTGACGATGACTATACGAGAAAAGGTAGATGATACGAACCAAATTCGTGATGGCTCCGTAGTCCGAAAACTCTTCAATCTTCCAAGTCTCCTTGTCCACTAGAGCCTTGGCGCGCTTGTGGGCACGTTGCAGGAACACGGTCATGCCGTGAACGCGGTAATCGAATATAACCTTCTCCACGATACTGAGAGGCTGAAACATGTTAAGTTGGAAGCATTTAGCACTGTCATTCTCGCCCCCGCACGTATACGTAAACTGAGGCACTCAAATTACTCCAATTGATGAAATTATGTTCCAATTCTATAGACTGGCTATCTTTTTCCGTATCATACGTATAATGTAAGGCGGAACAATTTTTAAACGCCGCGCAGTATGAACATGCGTCACCTTTATTAAAACATCATCGAGCCTAAGTTATATAAAATTTTCTGCATCATAATCAATACCATCAGTACGTTAAGCTGTTTTATTATATGGTGACGTATTACACAGTTGCCTATATGTATATTTAAAGCTTTCTCTATTGCCATGTATTATATTTCTAATTAGCTCTGGATTCCGAATACTGTCTTTAAACTGAGTAATTGTACATTGACGTCGGTAATTAATTCAATAAACCTGTATTTCCACTGTATCTAATTTATTTGGCCTAAACAGCCTTACAAAAATTGCCATAGCGGTCGGTATTTCACGACCACAAGGCGGGGTATTGGTAAAGTTTTCAACTAGCAATAATCGCACCTCGGATTAACCTCATTGGTTACGATATTGCCTCTGCGCAAAGTTAACTATTCAGACCAACTCCGAACTTCATAAGCACTTCCCAGAGTTAAAACGATATCGTGATGCACATCATATATTGGCGCCATCTATGTACAACAGTCGATACTTGCCAAATGCTTGAAAAAAATAAACTGAATTTCATTTCTTATAAATTAGGACCTCTTACTTTTACATTATTAAATTCCTTTATTTTACCAAATAGTTACTGTATATAGTATGTGTATGATACATAGTGGACTATGCCCTAGTACCCTCTGTACAGAGGAGGACTTTCCCCAGCAGTGGGACATATATTTTTACTTTATCTTATTATATTTTTCGTACTTTACTTTTTTAGTTTATAATTAATTCTATTCCTTGATTGAACAAGAATCCAATGATGTAATTTTACCTTTCTTCAAAATTGGACAAAGTTAAGAACACAGAGATATATTTGTTACTTATAAAAATATATTGTTGTAAAGATACATTGGTTCAACAAAGTGAAATACAGTGCTTTTACGTATTCTTTCTTCTTCTTCTTTTCTTTAAAACTATTTACATTTAGTAAAACTAGCAAGTGGTGATGAAGAGGTGCAGTAGTAAATCTATCCAGCAGTGTGTGACTCGTTTACCATTCATGAATACATAACCAAGACCTGACCCCATAGAGATAAAAATTGACTCCTAAATCGATGGGTCTGTGTTAACTTGGTGCTAAATTGTAATAGGTGATCCATTTTATTACAATATCTTCAAAACATTTTGACTCAACTCAATACCATAAATACACAATTGACTATTTTAATCGATTAATTTTATAGGTTTCTTATATGATTTTTATAGGTTTTTTAAGGATTCTTTATTCAATTTTAATTCAATAACCGTAAATTAAAACGTTCTGGTTAATAAGGATTTTAATCCAGTCTGTTTCATAAAAAATAAGTAGTAATTTTTTTTTCAAACATTTGGCGAGTATCAATTGTTGTACATAGATGGCGCCAATGTATGATGTGAATCACGATATCATTTGCACGCTAGGAAATGCTTATGAAGTTCGGAGTTGGTCTGAACAGTTAACTTTGCGCAGAGGCAATATCGTAACCAATGAGGTTAATCCGAGGTGCGATTATTGCTAGTTGAAAACTTTACCAATACCGCCGCCTTGTGGTCGTGAAATACCGACCGCTATGGCAATTTTTGTAAGGCCGTTTAGGCCACATAATAAGATGCAGTAAAATTATGGACTAAGTTAACTACTGAGACCAGTGTACTATATCTCAGTAATGAAAGACGTGTTCTAGAGCTACTTGGAAAAGACATGGCAATATTGAAGACGCTTGTACAATGTAAATTAGGGTCATCCGCCTTTTTTAAATGTACCATATATGTGTTAGTATTATGAATGAGATAAAGCAAACAAAAATATATAATGATACAAAATTCTATCATTATGTATTTTCAGAGATAAATATGTCTATCCAAGACTGCAGTATTACTCAGAAATCCATTGCTGCATTCTTACTTTTAAATCAAAATTGGACTCAGGACTAATCTGAGTACTTTTCGCTTTTAGTAGTCTCTGATTTGGCCACCCACGTCCATTTAAAAATATCACCCGAGCATATTTCGATGTTCACTATATTTTCATAGCTCATTTCGAAAAATAATATAGGCAGACGACTAAACGCTGGCAACCCTACTCGCGATCGGGTTGGGGGTGAAGCACTAATAAGCTTTGTACAAAGAGGCCTACTTGGGAAGGCAGGTCAAGCTTCAGCAGGGACTCGTACGCGTCGCGAAGATGGCGCAGGTTTGCGACGAGGCGCGCCCGGAGCACTTCGGCGCTCGCCGTTCCCACGGCGCCACCGCCACTGAGCAGACACGAGCGCATCTGCTCCGAGAAGGACTCCACCATCGCGATTATCATCTCCTGTAATTTGAGCCGACGCCCGTAAATGTACTACACGTGTAGCTGGAAGGGAGAGGGAGGGGGTGATTAACATTTCAACGATAAGTTAAAATTAACGATTTACTTAACTTTTTACTTTTTTAAGAAAAAAGACATTGCCCTCACTTTAGGATAACAGTATCGTGTGTTGCAAGGACGTTTTTACATACATAAATTTCACGTGGACAAACACCCAGATGCGAAACAACTATCTGTGGGTCACACAAATAGTTGTCCCGTGTGGGAATCTAACCCACGACCCCCGACGCCGAAGCCAATACCTTGACGACTGCGCCACGAAGTCACAATTAATGTTGTATAATATCATATGAGATGATAGTAGTCTTCCAGGAATATTGGCGAAGTCAAGGAAATGATGACGGTAATAATCGTGGGTAGGAATAAGTAATAAAGATGATTAAGTGGATAAAGCAGACGGTAAGGATAAGTATAGAATCATTTCGAATAAATAAAAACCGGATATACAAGATACTCAATGTGTACATCCCAAGTCTGGAACTATTTAACAGAGTTGTTTTTCTTCACATTTTTGTCAATAGTAAAATGCGCTTCGCGGTGGCCTTCACCTAGAGATTGCGGTGTCAACCTTGAAGTTGGTGACCAGCGCCAGAACGAATTAAAAAAAGAACAAAACCGCGCCATCCTACTTCGCGGTGTCGACCTTGAAGTCGGTGACTGGCGCCACAGCGAATTAAAAAAAAAGCGTCAGCCGAGACGTAGCGGCGGCGACCTTGAGGTCGGTGTGGCGCTGCGGCGTCGCAGGCCGGCCGGCCAGCTCGCCGGCGAAATAGCGGCGCGCGAGCGGCCACAGGGCGTGCAGCTCGGCGGCCAGGGCGCCGCACGCCGCGCCGCACCACGCCGCGCGCGTCGCCCCCCACGGGCCGTCGCACTCGCCGTCGCGCGCCCTGCGCCGCCCTGCGCGAATTCCGCACATTGCACGCCGTAACAATGCCTATTCGCTGCGACTCACAATATAACGACGTTTCGGCAATGCCTAAAAATTTATGAATGCTAAACGTCAATTTAGAAATATAGGTACATCTTTAGCACTAACGCACGGTTTCTGAATGACCGATCATCGTGGAAGTTAACTAATGACGAAGCTGTCAAATGGCATTTTTCAAATGTCATTTGAGTTGCCAAAAGGATGGTTAAACTCTTTAAATTGACCATTCCGATCATTGAGGAGATCATTCTGATCAATTCAGAGAGTTTAACCAATTTCGACCCCACTAAAAACTAATGTATATAAAATATTCTTCGCCGTTTTTGTTGCATTTATACACAGTGGAATATATCGAGTGAGAAAAAAACATGTCTTCCTAAGAAGATAAGCGTAAAATACACGCCCACGATCGGCGTTCCTCAAGGGTCCTGCCTCTCTTCCTTGCTCCTATCTGTTCTCTACACGAACAACATTCTAAAAACCCACAAGTCAATCTCGCACTTTTCGCGGACAACACAGACCATTTCTATTCTAAAATACCACTTGACCGAGTGAAAATTAGCCTCCAAATCGCCGCCGTTTGTGACGATAAATATCTCTTGGGCCGTCGATGGCTGGGCCGACCCAGACATCGATTTAACACAGTTAACACATCGTAATCTAGCGATATACGGTGCAAGTCATAAAATTGACTATTTATTATTATTACGGAATACGTAGCATTTTTCTAATGATAGGTAGATTAAACTGCAGAAATATTATACTGATTGAACCTTTCTCGTTGGCTTCTTGTTCCTCCTTTTGTTTGAAATGATCTTTCACTTTATTCATTAGACTCATTAAGTAGTCCTTTCTGCTCAAAATTGCCGTCCAGGCGGCATCGCCTTCCCAGTTTAAGCTGATCAACAATCTGAAATTAAAAATGATTTCATTTTAAATATTTCCAAGGCATCGCCGCGTGGATTTGGAGTCCGTGAAGAATCTATGGACAAAACAATCACGCGCGAGTTACCCCACAGGAAATTTTGAGATTTTTTTTTTACAAAAATAATTACTACCTAAAAAAAGACAAAACTCAAACTCTCATTTCGCATTTATAATGTTAGTAGTATTAGAAAATTGCAGAGTTTTCAGTTTTAGCACAGACATGACAGTGATTTAAGCAAAGTCATATTTGAGCATGGTTTGTGCGACAGCTTCAATTTTTAAATTTTTATTTCAGATTTGATAAACTCTTTAATAGACCGAGATAGCTCTTCTTTGTCCTAGAGATTTTCAAGGATCTTTGTCAAAGAGCAAATTGAGAGCAAAGAAATTCCATGAATGAAATCATACCTGATGTATTTGGTTTGTTCTTGAACATTAATGGGCATAGTTTTCATTCTGTTATGCAAATTTTCCTTAAGCTCTTCTATTTTCTTGTCTATCTCAGCCAAGATCTTTTGAAAGAGCTGTAATTTTATTTTAAAAATACATTAAAATCACTATTTACCATAGATGTCGCTAAAATAGTTTCAAAATTTATGAATAAAAAAACAGGTTGTATATTTATATCAGTGGTTTCTTATTTTGTAGTTATTATCTTAAGACTGGCAAAATTCGTAAGCTTTTTTACTATTTTACTTTTATTTAAATGGAGTGAATACGCAAAATTTCGCAAATAAGTTTTAACAATACCTTGACATCAGTATTTCCGAACAAGTTTTTCGCTCTTGTATAATCGTTGACAACCAAGTCAAATTCTTTCTTTCGAATGTTTTTGTCTATAGAAGAAGGAAGTTGAAATAAAAATTTGTGCCTTGTGAGCAATGACAACGCCTCTCGGGTTTTATCAGCGTTTTCTTTACGTGAAAGAATCTCGGAGAACAATGAATCTGCTACTGAAATTGATTCTGAAAGCAATATATTTAAAAAAATATTACTTCCGTCTGTTTGATTACAAGTCTCTTATAAGTTCAACATATCTCTCTAACATCTCTTAGTCCTATTTATATATTATATGAGCCCGATTCAATATAAAAACATTAGACGCACATATAGATTGTCAAAATTTTACTACCAACCATTCGGAAAAGAAAATCCACCGATTTGAGAAGAACTGGCGAAAGGAACTCAGCAGAACCATTTTTTTACCATTTTTTGAATGTAAAAACATGTTTGTATGCTGGAAAGGATATAACAATAGATACGGCAAGCATTGCTTCAAATGCTAATTAACAATGTAGAAAGAAGGCGTTAAGATTTTCGTCGATGTGGCTATCAGCCGTTTAGCCCAGTGGCTAGAGCGTCAGGCCGCGAATGCCGAAGAAGATAATAATAATAATAGCATTTAACACACAAACAGTAATTTACAATTTTTTGGAATAAGTCAATTTCTGGGAAAATCCCAGATTTTGTGGCAAAACGTATACACAGTCCCACAAAAGAATTACGTATTCTATGCAGTCTAGTTATCGGTAGAATTAATGTATGTTTGCTCCTAGTATTTATATCATACACATTACACCTTGAAAATTCATTCTTAATGTACTGAAAATTCATAAGATCATATTTGAGTAAAAATTATTACCTGCAGAACCCAGAACATATAGAAAAAAAAATATGTTGTTCAAGGGTAAATATAATAAATTTGTGAAAAAAGCACTGATCGAAATTTAAGAACGAGTTAGAGCAGTTAAATATGCTTAACTGTTCTATACAGAGATAGAGGCAATTAGCAATCACCATTACAGGTATACAAGTGAAAAATTCTTTCTCCTGGGGTTTTTTAATAAGTTTCAGGTTTAATATGTATTTTAGTCACTCTTTGTTTTGAAATAAGCACATCTATTAAGTAGCCATCTATGTACAAGTTTATACATTACTTATTACTACCTTATGTATTACATATTATAAAATTGTCTAATTTTTATATCCCTTATCTTTTTAATTTTTATGTTCTTAATGGTCTTCCAAAATTTTGCATATGTGTGTGTCACAAATTATTTCGTGTATGTATGATAAACATTTAAATTATTATTTAAAATCACAAACCTTCAATTGCAGATTGTAGACTAGGCAAAGGTTCTCTGCCATTCTTCCTCTGATCCTCTTCATACATATTTTTCAAAAGCACTAACCTATCTAATTGATCCATAACAGCACCTGTATTTGCTTTAAGAAAGCTTAGCTGACCCTCCTTTTGGCCTTCTACCTGTAATAAACAGTCCACTACTTTAAAACTATATGACTTTACCAACTAGATGATATTTCATAAAGCAGTTAAATTTTTTAGTTGTGATGCATAATTAATATCTCATTATTTAAATAGATGCTGTTACATTCATTATTTAAATAGATGCTGTTACATTAATATTGTAATACACAAATGTGACTATTAAGTAATGTGAATACTTTATATTTGTTATTATTGAAGTAGAAAAAAAGATTAACCTTTCTTTGCAGAAATACCATTCCAGCTTTCAAATCTTCATAGGATGTATTGCTATGATGTTCCAAAAGGTACCAGCCTGGCTGGAAATTTTCATCTGACAACTTCCCCGAACTGCTTGAGAATGTTAAAATAATAAAAAAAAATTAAATAATATCTTTATAATTACCAAGTTATAATTTATAATTTATTAAGAAAATTTCTATTCACCCATCAGGAAATAGCTCATGCAGTTCCTCTTCTGGAAATTTGCAGTCATCCCCTTCAGTGGACAAACCTAATGGGTCAGGTGGAGTATACGCAGTGGGTGACATAGGGCGACGTCCCCATGGCAAAGATGGTGGAGCAGCCTCCTCTACCCAAACAGCGCTTTCTTTCATTGGACCAACCGATTCATGATAACCTAAATAATGACAAACATAACAATAAGTTGTATCCTGAAGTAGTTCACATTTGATTGTTTTAAATTTTTTTTATTTGGTGTAAAGTTGGCAAATAAGCTGGCGGTTCACCTGATGTGGATCATGGATATCAACCTAAAACTTCTGTTTCCAATATATATTTATATATAAATATAAATTCATTGTATTATCTACATATAAATTTAAATTTTATTCCTTCATATGACAATTAAAAAATAAAATTGTTAAAACTTTAATTACCTCTAAACTGAACAGTAGATGTGCCTTCACCACCAGACCTTGTAGCAACTATAATATCTCCCCTGCCTTTACACGGTCCTGATCGAGCTACTATTTTGTTCTTGCTCTTCCATTCTGCTGATAGCAAACAATCACAACCACATATTTTGAGTCCTGGAAAATTGAAAATTTTTGAATAAGCATCTAGATACAGAAAGATTTTTATGCTACAAATCTTATCCTTTAAACGAGCAATTCTTGTATATATATATATAATCGGTATCTCGGAAACGGCTCCAGCAATTTTCATGAAATTTAGTATGTGCGTAGATTCGAGGGCGAAAAATCGATCTAGCTAGGTTTCAATTGTAGAAAATGTCCTTTTATCCCTGTTTTCAGGGAATAAAAAATATCATTCAAATATGACGGTAAATTTCGCCGCAAGAGAAAATGTCATAATAGCTCGGTCGGTAATCGGACGGCCCCAAAAGAGACGGCCGTGGTTCGTGTCACGATCATTTACACACTCTTTTTTTTACTTTTTTTTCGGTCCAGACCATTGCTTTCTTTATTTTTTGTTGATCCAGAGGATCATTTATATTTTTTTATATGTATTATTTATATGTATTTTGTTATATTTGTCCCTTTTTTAAAAGTTTTCTTTTGTGAAAAACACCACTTCATATTTTCTTATTATTAGGTCGGTAAGATCGACAAATATTATGCATATTTCTATTACTTAGTAATTTGTATCTAAATGTAATTTCCAAAATACATGATTTACAAAAAAAAGAAAAAACAATCCGAGCAGGTGAGGTCAAAACGGAGAGAAACTGGCTCAGAATACAGGCGGTATCGAGGAGCAACTCCTTGTGCACTTTCCATCCCCTCATCCCAGTCGCCTCAGATGTTCAGAGAGGCTGACTGGGATTAATACGCAATTTTTTTTTATTCAATTAGAATGAACCTCTCTATTTGAGGGTAAAGGCCTCCTCCAAAGAATCTCAATAGTCTCTATCCGTGACGTTATCTTTCCACAGTTTACAGGCCGTCCCTGCAATGTCTACATCTGCGATAGATGTGAGCGACTGTAGGAATCAGATAATCATGACGTTTCTCTTAATTTTGATTGGCATTTGACTTTTGAAAATTTCTTTTAGATTCCAAAATTTTTTCCATAACCCTTTTAAAAATTCCTGGTCATTACTTTTATTTCCGAAAGACAGTTGATTGCCTAGATAGATGTATCGAATTATTATAATCTTAAATTTAATATAATCTTTTCTATATTCCTGTTTTTTCCTATATTTCATTATTCAATGAATATTAATTTGGAGGATTGATATAAAATACAATAAAACATATTACATACCAATTAAATCAGTTACACTGACACCGAGAAACTCCCCTCGAATTGTTACCCTCGTACCGGGAGGACCTTCTTTGGGTGATATACCAGTAACTACTGGAGGTGGACCCATATTAAACAAGAAATAATTATATAACAAGTTATTACCAATTTAAAATGCATACATAACAATTAGAGAACAATAAATAATTGTGGTGATGAGTTGTTAAGCGCTATTATTTATTTTGGTTATTTGACATTGACATTTGCAAATCTTGACAGACAAAGACTGAATCTGTAACTGTTTGTTTTTGGATTTTATGGCCCGGTATCGAGTACCTTTAGACCAGCATCTGTAACACTCTGTAACACATATAGACTCTGATCGATGTAACAGAATATTTTACCGAAAAAGATTAATGGGTAACATTATCGGTCTATCGGAAATCGTTTTTAAAAAAATATAAATGAAACAAATAAAATATAACAGTTAGATATTTTAATTATTATCATTGGCATAAAGAATAACAAAATTCCAGAACCAGAGAAAAACAAAAAAATTAGGTAAGCATCGTTAGAAAACATGCATATTTTCAAAATAATAACAAAAAATATATGGAGTCTGAATATCCGCAGATTGGTCGCGTTAAGGATAATGCCTTAATACATTACTTTACTTTTTATTCATAAACCTCTATAGTTCAATGTCCGGAAGCTCCGTTTTAATACGATAGAGTCGAACAATGCAGAGTAGTGCTCGCGCTGAGCGGTCAGTATGAATATTGCGATCTCACTATGCATTGTGAGGCACGCAATGCATGAGTATATGTTTGTTAACATATACATTATATATTATGTGCATAGCTCAGCGTATCGACAGCGAGTGTAAGGTCCCCGATTCGCCAGCCTACACATGATATGTACCATGCCACTTTTGAACTGCTGACATAGTATTTTTATTGTTGGTTAATAGCAAATCTGAATACTTTGTTAGATAATCACGTTAATTATTATTATACACGAATTGATTACTTCCGTGAATATTTTATTCACGTAATTGAATAATTCTCAGTAATTTATGGTGGTAGGGCCACGCAGCAGTACGAATGGGCTGACTCATTCGGGTACGTACCACGACCTCACAGAAGACTGGCCGTAAAGTGGAAGTATAATACTTTCGCGTTTCGTCTGGTGAGTGCGGTGGCCGGAGCCCAATTTCAAAAAGTCGTGAACTCATGTGCAATTCTCGGGTGTAGCAGATGTCTATGAGCATCGGTATTCACTTAACATCAGATGAACCGTCTGCTCGCTTAACAACTTTTCACATAAAAAAATATTAAGTATCTTTGTGAAAGATTTCATTTTTCGTAACCAATAATTCGAAGTAAGTACGTATCGTAACTGAACCGTGATTTCATCCTTACTACTTTCTCTGGATAGGTTTCAATATCGATGACCTTCAAAGTCAACATTCCTCTACTTCAAGAGCTCTTAGAACCAAAGAAGACTTTTACTCAAAGAGCTTGGAACTTACAAAAGACAATTAATTGTATGGCATTTTAACACCTACACAAATTATTTTATCTGTTTATCAACTGTCATTTGTCAATTTCCATTAAAAAACTAAGATATTTATTTCTGTCATGTGGGCGATACTACCAAGACCAAGACTCCCAGATTCAGAATGGTAATTTAAGGGGCGTTAAACAGAATATTGGACAAAATATACATATTTTAACTAAACATGCCCCACTACCGATAAAAGTTTCCCCAAGACGTATTTACAATGGCTCAATCTAACTTCAGGTACATGATAAGCATGACAATAATCTTTATCGATCTCTCTGAAAATTATCTAATTTCATATTAATTACAGCGCTGTTGATGAATACGGATTTGAAAGACATGAAGACTTCGACTATGAAAGCTATGAAGACTTTATGTCCGTATACTTAAAAGTACTCGCATCAAGAGCGCAAAAGTGGGCTACATTACTCGGTGAAGGAAAGTCGGTCAAACGAACGAATACAGTCAAAAGATATGTTCGAAAAGGAATCCCTAGTCAGTAAAGTTTTAATATTAAAATTTTCATAGTGCTCGTAATCTCTGTACATAAAATGAAACGCTAAATGTGTAGTAAAAAATGGCTAATAAGTTTTTGCCGCTGCGAGAACCGAACTATACGCGAATTCTAAAGACGTGAGTTCGATTCTCGCAGTGGTGAAAAACATTCCGTTCAATTCGAGATTAAATATTTTATTATTAATAATTGTATGTAGCTGCTTGTACTTGTTCATTCTTCATGCTATTAATTTAAAGCTTATCATAAGACTTAGTGAATTATGTTTTATATCTTATTTTTTTATGAACATCATAATGTTTCTTATTTATTAGGTGAACATCGTCCTTCAGTATGGATGGCCATTTCGGAAGCAGAACAAATGAAAGATCAGTGCCCTGACCTTTATCAAAAAATATTAGATGCCCCCTATGAAAAGGAACTAGTAGATTTAGTCAAGACAGACTTGCCACGCACTTTTCCTGACAATATCTATTTTACGAAGGAAGCTAATCATCAGACACATTTATTCAATGTTTTGATTGCATATGCTCACAATAATAGAGTTGTTGGGTATTGCCAAGGACTAAATTATATAGCAGGTATAAAATTTAGGATCAAAACAATGACACTTTTGTTAGAGTTACAAAAAGTTCAGATAGATTCAGTTTTATAAATAAAATTGTTAACAAGAAAAATCATTTACCTATAATAGCAATTTTTCTAATTATAACCTGTTTAATTTGAATACTGTAGGTTTGCTTTTGCTGGCTACAAAGAGTGAGGAGACATCATTTTGGTTATTAAAAGTATTGGTAGAAAAAATTCTTCCTGATTACTACACTAAGACTATGGATGGATTGATTGTTGATATTGAAGTTCTATCGGAACTTGTTAAATCTAAAGCCCCTGATGTCCATCAGCATGTGATAAACTTAGGTTAGTACTGATTATTCAATCTTTAATCTTAGATAACACCTTATTTAAAATCAAAATATTTATTCATTGAAGTAAGAAATTTACATTTCATCTATTAGTCATTTTTTAAATCTAACACCATTCTAAATGACATTTTGTAATTTATTATACAGCTTATTTTATATAATACTGCTTATTTGTTTTATAATGTTTAGTGTATACACTAAATGATATAAATTTAACATTCATATTTCATTGTTTTGTGTAAATTCCCTGAATTTTTCTGTGACCGACTGCCTAGCTAGAGTGGATCCTAGGTTTCTTCTAGGGATATTTTAGACTTCAATACCCAGTTGAATGTGTATTTAAGGATTTTATTAGTTTTTCTGACTAACTGCATTTAAAGTTGACTTCATGTATTTTAGGCTTACCATGGGCAGTTATAACAACAAAATGGTTTGTATGTTTGTTTGCTGAGGTACTGCCTATTGAAACAGTTCTACGGATATGGGATTGTCTCTTTTATGAAGGCTCTAAAATATTATTTAGAGTATGCATAACTTTGATAAAAACAAATCGAAGTTCTATATTGGCCTGCAATGACTTCACTTCGCTGGCGGAGTGTTTTAAAGCTATAGTGAAAAATGCAAGTGCACTGCATTGTCATGAGTTTATGCAGGTGTGTATTTTTTTTTAAATATATACTTGATGTTACTCTTATGCAAATGGGTTTCACTTTTCACAAATGAAGACCTGCACAAAAAAGAAGTGAATCCATAGTTCTTTATGCAGTCTTTTGTAAAATACACTTGCATTTTGTCTTTTAAAGTGACGTATTTGCTCCTGCAACCCTTTGGATGTTATGGTTGTCAATGAGTGTCGGTGATAACTTAAAATCATGTTAACTGCCTGCTCATCACCATTCTTATGGTCATTGGTTTTTCTGCATTTCAGTCAATTTTCAAAGTACCTGGGACTCTGTCCAACTCTACAATAATCAAGCTGCGGGCACGCTTCGCTAAACAGCGTCGAGAACAACAACAAAAAGAACCACCTCGATGAACATTTCACCATTGAGAAGATATTTTGATCTCATTCTTTTCAAAAAACTACCAAATTAAAGTATACCACTAAAACTACTTATGTAGGCTTTATCTATTGTTAAATTTACAAATTGAAAACATTCTGTCTATATTACTTATGAATTGCATCTCTTTAGTACAAATTGAAAAAGTAAATAATCAAAAAGAAATTACAAGCTAAATATTTGTATTAATTTATTTTAATTTTATTAGAATAAAAAGTCTTTAGCTTAGTGTTGGTTAATGTAAAATAAAAACATTGATAGGGCTATTACCTAGCCTGGCCTAGTTTGCTTAATTCCAGCATAATTTAACAGATACTAGAATGAGTGAAACATTTGAGAATAACATTTCATAAATTAGTGTTAAAGCAAAAACTTTTCTGTCTGTTAATTAAACTGTATATTCAATCAATTTTTTTGATGATGAATGATGAAATATTATTTTTGCATCATTTATTACTGCGAGTGCATTAACTTTATAAGTACACTGATGACATGAAATTTGTTTTTAAGGATATTTTGTACAAATTCAGCTAGTCTACACGCCTTTTATATATCTTTATGCCTATATTTTTTATAATTAGAAATAAAGGTTACTTTAGCGATTATGCAACATGCATATCAAAATCGATTATCTAGCATGTCCCTTAAAAATTTGAGAGCCTAGTGTCATGATAATTTTTATGAATGAATTATGTAACAGCTGTATAAGTACATCTCTATTTTCTAAATGTTTTGAGCAATAATTAGCAAGGGAAGTCCCTTATGTGTAATCTTTTAAACATGCAATTGACGTATCTGCTAGCTATAAAGCATTGCATGCAGTAAATTAATGCTCCAATATGATTTACTTTTTGTTGTGTTACTATTGTATTTATCACATTCACGGAGGGATAGATAAAAAGTCTAAAACTTCATTAAATTTAATTGTGCCAGCCATTAGAATTTTTACATTAATTTCTTACCAATTAATCTAATTATTCTGACAAATTTGATACATTGCCATATACACATTTATTCAATAAAGGCATTTGTTGTAACTAGGTAAATGTTTTGAATTTGACAATAATGTTTTAATTTTTGAAATACATAGGTATTTACATAAGTATTTAATAAGTGGTAAAAGTTGAAAACTATTCGCACATGTAGTTATTAACTAGGTATTTATGTTAATGCTATGGAATACACATAATAATAGAATACAGAGGCATGAAAGTAAAAGTTGCTGAAAGAATAATCTGGTTGAACAACATAAGTTTTAGTCCATGTTTAAATTTAAGATGCTGCTTGTTTTCTAGTTCTTCAATTTCTTTATTTGTGAATTTAGTACCCATGACATACTAGTAATATACAACTACTGGAAATATACAGAGTGATTTTATAGACAACGGACATATTAAGAGAGCATATGTAGAGTTTGATTCTAAATCTGAATCTGGTACATACTTGCGACCTCATTGTTTTTTTTATCAAAGATTATTTTGAATTTTTTCAAATATTATGGACAGAAATTGGTTTGAATTAATATTTTTCTATTTTATGTCAAAATAAAATAAAATATTAATATTTTTTTTTAATTATAGAATGCTCAATATACATCATGTCAAATTATGTAGTTTGTCTAAAAAATTCCCCTGAATATTGATATTACAATTGTTACTACTGTAAGAATAATGACAAAAAACAATTGTTTTTTTTGATGTACTTGTTCGAAATTTCATATTTCGGTAATGTCTTGTAATAAACTTTCATTAAGTTCAAATTTGTAAGTAAAATATTGTAGTGTACTTTGATATCTTAAATGTGAATTCTATCCTAGATATGAGAATATGTTACATATTCTGAAGTATAAAATTCTTGTTGTAATGTGGTGTGATGCTTTAGCATATACTTGCTCTTTGCTGCCTTGTTCCCAAATAATTGTGTAAATTCATATAAAATTTAGGAACATTTTGAAATTCAAAGTGATAGAATAGACTTTGGAAGTTGGGAGTAGTGTTTTATTTATTGTATTTACATTATTCTATATTCACTAAATAACAATAATCTAATAACATTTCTATTTTTTTTTATGTTTTGCCACTTTCCAGTACATCTTTTGCCTCATTAATTTTTGCAGCAATTAATGGTGATCCACCTTTATCTGGGTGATTTAATAACATAACGCGCCTATGAGCATCTCTTATCTGAAAATAATAACATATAATCAAAATTTGTTATAAACAGAATGTAAGATTACATACTTTTTAACAAATGCAATAAATAAGAAATTATATTCAAATGCATGAATGCAAAACTAAAGATTGTTTTGACATTCTAAGTGCCTGGCTGAAGCATAAATTTGAATATTTTGACCTTACTTGTAATAGTTGAAATACTCATAGCTATCTTTCGAAGGCACTTCTTTAGTATATTTTAAGTCACAGGTAATTCTTTTCTGCTTTACAGACAGTTCTATACTGAAATCTAGTAATAGCTTTATAGGTTTTATAATATCGACATGGCTTATAAATGGAATAGATGATGAGATAATGGAAAAACATATGCAAAACATATTTTTTATTAATGTGAATGATAGAAGAGTGTTTGAACAAAAACCAATTTATCACATACTAGCGAACCAACTGGCTTCATATGGGTACAATGTAATCTTGAATCACTATCTAGGAAAAAAAAATAGTTATTGGTAACACTTTTTTGACACCAATTACAGATTCGTGTGAAATGTGGTGAGAAATTAACAAAAACTAAATGGATTAATCATTTTTTGATCGGCCTGACAGATATGTCTTTGTATAACATAATATTTTTTAGATGCATTAGTTTTAAATCTTGTATTCCTGGTTTTTTATAGAATGTTTCTCGTACTCGTAATCTTTACCCAGTAATAAAACTTCTCCCTGTGTCTTATAAATCTTTGTATATAGCTTTGTCAGTTTCCAACCAACCAAATACATGCCCATGAAAATTACCAAGCATTTTTCGGTATTTGTTCCAATCATGAAACAATTTAATTGATTTATTTGTTTATATTTAGATTAGCATGTTTCAAGAAAATTTTAAAGACAATTGAGTCACTTATAAATAGATTTTATACAAGATGGCTAAAGATATGTACATAAATTGCCAATTACCATACTTAATATAAAAACTGCTAAAATGTGATTTATCAGTTTTTGTTCCTATGCTCCTCAATTTCAAAATCTTTTAACCACAATGTGAAGAGAAAAAGTAACAAATGATAGCCAAATTTCAAGATTTCTTATTCAGTTACAAAAGTAAGCCAAGCAATCCAAGCATCATAATCATCTTCAGCCAGGAAATGTCAACTGTTGATATAAATGTGTCCAACTGGTTGCGACACTGGTTGCCAGCGACTATTATGATAATGTTGGTCCACTTAATGGGAGGCCTTCCAATGCTAGATTAAAACAGACATATCTTCCAGTTTATGATCACCGTTTGAGAACTTTTATTCCCAAATATTTCTTAGAACAATTTTAGCGCAACTGCAAATTAGTGATGTTGCCCCATATTAAATACGAAGAACGGAACCTCAAACTTCATATTATGTAAACTACTGATCTACCATAGCATAGTGTTTTTAAAATTAAATGTACAATATGATACCTTGGCCTTATTAGCTGTGGGACTGATACCCAGAATGAGAGCAGCTTCCCTTTTCGTCATCTTAGGTTCAAAACCACCCTTATAGTACTTTGAGTTAGCAAGACTCTCAGAGTCGAATTTGGGCAAATTTTTTACTGCCTCAGCAAATTTCATAGAAGCATTAGGCATTTGTTTCAATAAATAACGCCCGGCGAAGCCAACTGCCGCCATGCCTAAACCTGCTACGATTATTGAACTAGCCTGCAAAATTTATATTTATAAGAATAAATATACTAACTGTGCACATCATATACTTGAATAAGATCAGCATGAGTACATACCATTTCCACCTTTTTTAGTAATTAATTCGTTGAATTTGCACGTTTAAAGGATAATTACTTAAAAATTATTATAAACAACTTTCACCATGCCTTCGTCATTAAAATGACCGGTCACCGGTCAGCATTGAAATGTAGAATTTGGAAGTACTGAATAATTCATCAAACTGATAGAATTATTGAAAGTATTGTTTTTAAATTGTTACTGCACATCACGCATTCGGAACACAATTTCCTAATTTTTCATTATGTACGTAATTGTAAGTCAAAATAAAATGTCAAGTAGGGATGCCGAAAAAATATCGATATATCGATACTTTTTTAAATATATCGATTTTTTTGGCCAATATTTTTTGATCCAATATATCGATATAAAAAATTGAAAATTTATTACAGGTCCATTTTATTCCATTTCCAGATTAATACTTGCTGACGGACTTCGTCGAAGCAGACTTATTACTCGTACCAGAATTGATAGTATCCTTCTGTATTTATGATTAAACATGTGGGTCGTTTTGATATATTTGACAAGGGCTGAAGGTAATTGGTTTTTCACCAAGTCATCTATGCTTGGACATACGAGTGATCCTTATTATGTTGTCAGATAGAATATCAAAAATCTTTTAGAAAGTATAGTACAACTTTGCAACTTAATATTAAAATTTTGATATTGGACTATCTGAGTTAGTAAGGCTCTGTTCAACAATATTTTAATGAACATATGACAACAACATATGAAATAACTTATGTATTGAAAATGATCGCAACGATCGATTCGTTAAGAGCGAATAAACATAAGCAAATGGAAAAAGATAATAACGGCGGAAGCGGCGGTTAAGAGTGCCTATTCCCCGCAACAGCAACTTTGCCACAGATAAATAGGATGTTCATTTAAAACATGTAGAAAAAGTACGAAAAGATGTGTCGCCGCTGTGGGAATCGAACCCACGTCTTCGGCATTCGCGGCCTGACGCTCTAGCCACTGAGATAAACGGCTGATAGTCACAGCAACGAAAATCTTAACCCCTTCTTTCTACATTGTTATTTAGCATTTGAAGCAATGCTTGGCGCATCTATTGTTATATCCTTTCCAGCATTCAAACAATTTTATAGATGTTCCTAAGATGACAGTCACTCTCTTATGTACTGTCCTTTTGAGTACCTTCGATAACATGGGGAGTAAGCAAAGCAGATATAGAGGGTGGTGTTGAACTCTCTAGACTTTTAGATTATTCGTCAAAAAATAAAAATCTGCTTCCTGGTCCCGCAACAAACAAATCCCGATTGTTCCAAAACTATTTCAGTATTCAGAAAAAAAGCTTGCAGGCTGGTATTAACAGTATGAAGAAGTATTTTTCTTTGCATACATACACCATAATTTTTCTACTATATCGTGAGCACATTAAAGCATGATAATGTGATCGATAATCGATTCTTGTGTGCTCCATTCGAATGGCATTGAAGATCTGTTTTTAGAGTGAATCGATTTGCCAAGCGAATGTACGCTGAAAGCACAGAATAGAATATACATTCATCATCATCATCATCATATCAGCCGTAGGACGTCCACTGCTGAACATAGGCCTCCCCCATTGACAAGTGTGAGTTGGGGAGTGCAAGGGGTCCCAACCATCATCTCTCGGGACCCAAGCCAACCTCGCCTGCCCGCGGTGCACTCTGCTGATCAACGAAAGAGGCTCTGGCAACCCGCCAACACGCACTGGACCAGCGCGGCGGGTTATGGTCCGTACCCCCCCATATACATTGTATGTTTGTAATTTTCGCACAACTGCGCTAAAATGATTTTAAAAAAATGTAATTAATTTTTAGGTTCTTTACTTACGTTAATTAGTATATCTGATTAAGTATAGATGGTGAAAAAGTTAAAAGAATTTTTAGTTTTTTTTATTGCAACTTCTTCGTGTAAGTGAGGCTGTTTTTGCCATACAAACTGCGAGTAATTTTTATGCAAAGGAAAGGGGTAATTAAAGCAAACATTTTATATGTAAATGCATAAATAAAGTGGTTCATTTTAAGAGATTCATCCAATATTTGTGAAATGATACTGGCAACACAATGGAACAGTAACCGGCCGCACATAATTTTAAGAAAAAAATCGGGCCTTTTTGAAGAGGTTCAACATGGCAGGAGATCAGGCGCAGTTTTACCAATTATTAAATACATTATTGTCTACAGATAATGACATTCGTCAGCAAGCAGAAGTAAGTTTATAATAATATTTCAAATGTTTCATGAGAATATGTCCAATTGATTTTGGTATTACACGTAATAACCCAAAACGAGGGGTTGTGGCCTCGTGTCAAAACGTGGTCATGGAGGATCGTAATATTATTTTTAAATATATTTAATTGTAACATTTCTATCAAGAAATATCTTGACTCCTGTTTTTGTCTGTTAAATAAGTTGAAATGTTGCTGATTTTGCATTTTTTCGATATCGCTTACAAAATGTCATCATTATACGCAGGCATGGGGGAATTCAGTGCGTACAGATTTAATTAGAGATTTACGTTCATTAATTATTTTATGTTAAAATTTTTACCACATGTCGTATAGACTCGAGCTTAATTTATTTTTCTATTGAAATTGTTAAAATTTTATTATATTAGAGAAAACATAACACTATAAAATACACATACCATTAATATACTAAAATGGCACCTTATTAATAGAAGAGACTCCTAAATTATGAGGTTTTGGTTGTGATATAAGTTTTTGTCAAACTAAATTATATATAATTCTTTTTTCCATTTAGGATGCTTATAACAATATACCAACTGAAACAAAAGTGGTACACTTAGTGGGTGCAATCCAAAATGGAGACATTGGTGAGGAAGCTAGGCAGACTGCAGCAGTTCTTCTGCGACGGTTACTCAGTGCAGAGTTCTTTGAATTCTTTCCAAAGTTGCCGTTTGATCAGCAGACTATGCTGAGAGAACAGTTACTTCTCACACTTCAAATGAATGTTAGCCAACAATTACGAAGAAAGGTTTGTCCTAAAACTATTTTGGAAAATTTATTGAAGCAGTGAAGGAAAACATCGTGAGGAAACCTGCATATTTTCGGAATAATAACACAAAAAATAATTTTCGAAAATATGTGAAGTCCACCAATCCGCAGTGGGGCCGTGTGGTGGACTATGCCCTGATACCCTCTGTATAGAGGAGGCCTTTGCCCAGCAGTGGGACATGTATAGGCTGTTACTTTTACTTTTTACTTTTTTGATTATTTTAAAAATTTCATGTTTATATATATTTAAAATTTGAGTAACAAAATCATTTCTGCAGATCTGTGATGTAGTTTCTGAGCTTGCTAGAAACCACATAGATGATGATGGTGTCAACCAGTGGCCTGAATTTCTTCAGTTTATGTTCCATTGTGCTAGTTCACAGGATCCAAACATAAAAGAAGCAGGCATTAGAATGTTTACGTAAGTTTTTGTCCTGCTATAATTGTTTTACATAGAATATGCAAATTCATACATATTCCATTGTACTTTACTTAAAATAATTTACTTTATACTGTTGTACCAAAGTTGAAGGAGTTAATATTAAGGTTTTAAATGCTGAATTATATAATAGTATTCATTAGTACACCTTTTTTCCCTTGGTTAGATCTGTGCCTGGAGTTTTTGGAAATAGACAAAATGAGAATCTGGATATCATCAAACAAATGCTTTTATCATCTCTGCAGCCAACAGAATCGGAAGCTTTACAAATGCAAGCAGTTAAAGCAGTTGGTGCATTTATTCTATTACATGACAAAGAACCAGCTATACAAAAACACTTTGGGGATCTCTTGCTTCCACTTATGCAAGTAAGTAGCAATAATGATAAATTTTTCATAACACAATAAATCTTAAATTTAGATGATACTGCTTTTAGACCTATAATGATGTATTGATTTTTATGATGTGATGATTTTAGCACATTATTTCCTACATTCATTTTTCTTTATGAAAAGTGATAACTGCCAAGATGTGCAAGATTAAATTATTTTGAGGATTTCGCTAACACTTTCCTATTAATAGGATTGAGTTTGATAGTAGCCCTCAATACAATTATTTATTAGGAAAACAATTATTTTTTTATATTTGAATGAAAATCATGAATGCTAATCAAATTTTGTTATGTATTAGGTGGTTGTTCAGTCAATTGAAAAAACAGATGATGATTCAGCATTAAAAGTTCTAATTGAACTGGGTGAATCAGCACCCAAATTCTTACGCCCACAGCTTGAAACAATCTTTGAAGTCGGCATTAAGGTATGTGTCTTTTAATAATATTTTAAGTGTTCGACCGAAAATTCGGTTTTGGCGGCGACCTGCCGAAACTACGATCCAAACCGAAACTGCATTTCGGAGTTTTCGCGCATCAGTAATGTTCGGCGTGTTAAATTCGTTGCATCGTTGAAGATTTTTTCATCATGTAGATTCATAATCGTCAACTAGTTAAATTTGTAAAATATTTAATGTGATGCTTATTTCAATTTAAATAAATGAACGAATTTTATTTGACGCTGCGACATTCAATGATTCTATTGTTCATAAATTGTGAAAAATAAATTAAGAAAGTGAAACTTCATTCTTAGAAGCACTGAAATTCTAGTCAGCTCCACTGACAGGTGTTTCCAGTGCAGAACTATTTAATTGCTACTGGACAAATTTATTCACCCAGAGCCAGCGATCTGTAAGGCGAAAATTGTTTCTTACATATATTATGAGATTGTTTAATTATGAATTCTAATAATAAATAACAATTACAGATACCTACTTGAAATTATTAGTATCTAGTCATTGCCTTGCCTTTTGCATTTTTATGATGATTAGTTTATAATTTTGTAGTTTAGCTTCTTGTTTCTTTTTTTGTATGTATTTTTAAAAAATCATGAATAATATTCAAAAAACAAAACAAAAAAGAATCTAACTACTCAAATAAACCACCTATTTTAAGCCGCAAATAATATTTTTTTCTTAAAGGAGGTTGTTATGTTGACTATCATACCAATAAGTGAAAATGTTGAAGACTGTATAGCTATGTGCTGTAAAGATCTTTATTTTTCCCTCAAAACATGATTTTTCTAAGAAATTTCTGTTTTGACTGAAACTGACAGATTCTGATCAACAGAGTTTAACAATCCTTTTGGCCACTCAAATAACATTTGAAAAGCCATTTGATTGATTAGTTGACTTCTATGATGATCAGTGTTTCAGAAACCAGGCATATGACTGTTTCCCAAATTCTGTTATCGTTGCGGTCGTAAAACCAGTTTTGGTTGGTCCACTAATATCTATCAATCAGTCAGATCAGAATCAGTATATTGCTCTATATAGCTGATATTAAAACCAACCATCAAGTTGAAGATTTGTTCATCAAATGCTCAGAGAAATATGCTATTGTATGCTTAATGTTTGTTGAGAATAATTGAAGTTTCTAAAACAGATTACAATTTGTAGAAAAACATGGACTAAAAATTAAAATTTGTAGAAAAACATGGACTAAAAATTATAATTTGTAGAAAAAGTTCGAAAAGATTGTCGCAGAAGTGGGATTAGAACCAACGTCTTCGGCATTCGCGGCCTGATGCTTTAGCCATCTTAAGTGCAGAGATTAGCATTATAAAAAAAATGGACTAAGAATTTTTGATACAAAAATATAAATTAGATTGTTTATTAACATACTGTATTGTATTGTAAACTATTTTAACAATAAAATAAACTGTATAATAACTGTTCTGTATAATATGTATAACAGCTTTGAATATAACATTTTATCAGTATTATACAATGTTTATTACAGGTTATTGGCGATACCGATGCAGATGACAATTGGCGCCAACTGGCACTAGAAGCATTAGTTACTTTGTGTGAAACTGCCCCTGCCATGGTACGAAAGCAGGTTCCAGGTGCTATACGCAGACTTACACCGCTTGTACTCGCCATGATGTGCGAGCTTGATGACGAACCTGATTGGGCCGTACAAGACGACGTCGCAGACGACGATAACGATTTGTAAGTTTTTTTAACTCTTAGGTCAAATAATACATCCATATAATTTTCTATCCCTATTTTATTTACATGGTTAAGTTAAAGTAACCATATTAATAATAATCTTATCCTTTAAACTAGCAATTCTTGTATATATATATATATCTTGTGTGTAATCGGAATCTCGGAAACGGCTCCAGCGATTTTCATGAAATTTAGTATGTGCGTAGATTCGGGGGCGAAAAATCGATTTAGCTAGGTTTCATTTTTAGAAAATGTCCTTTTATCCCTGTTTTCAGGGAATGAAAAATATCATTCGAATAAGACGGTAAATTTCGCCGCAAAAGAAAATGTTATAATAGCTCGGTCAGTAATCGGGCGGCCACGAAACAGAAGGTCGTGGTTTATGTCACGATTATTTACACATTTATTTTTTTACTTTTTTTTTTTCGATTCCAGATCATTGCTTTCTTTATCTTTTATTTTTTGTCGATTTGTTATTTTTTTCCCTTTTTTTTTTAAAGTTCTTTCTTTTGTGAAAAACATCAGTTCATATTTTCTTATTATTAGGTTGGTACGATCGAAAAATATTATGCAAATTTCATTACTCAGTAATTTGAAACAAAACAAAAAAACAAACCGAGCCAATCTCGGTACTCCGGTTACTAAGCTTTATTTGTTCCATACAGTCAGTGTTTCTTAATCTAAATGTTAGTTTTTATGGGTCCAAAAAATTTAAAAGTTATAAAAACTGGCCAAGTGCGAGTTGGACTCGCGCACGAAGGGTTCTGCTTAGTTTGAGTTTTACCATTATTGTATTTGAGTGTAAAAAAAAAACCTATTGTATCTATAAAAGCACAAAAAAAAAACCTTGTATGGGAGCCCAACTTAAAAATTGTTTTTATTCTGTTTTTTAGTATTTGTTATTATAACGGCAACAGAAATACATCATCTGTAAAAATTTCAACTGTCTAACTATCACGGTTCATGAGATACAGCCTGAGTGACAAATAGTGAAAGTGACAGCATTAATCTTAGTAATAGGGGCCCATTTTACCCTTTGGGTAGGGAACCCTAAAAACTAATAGCATATTACATATGCTACATAACAAAATAATACTGCAAGTTTTTTTACATTAGATATGTGTAAGGTTCATAATATTTGCCAGAAACATCCTCAAATGTTTTTGCCAGAATGAATCTTACTAGAAGAAATATTGAGGTAATTAGCATTCTTATTGTAGTATGCATTTGAATGTCAGTCCCTTAATAACATTAAAAAAGCTAGGCAGGGTGAATTATGTTACTTGACTATGTTTTTTTTAAACCTAGCCCCATTACAATTACAATACATAAAAAAATTTACATTAACTTTTTATTAAATTTTAGGAACTATGTGACAGCAGAATCTGCTTTAGACCGCATGTGCTGTGGGCTTGGAGGTAAAATAATGTTGGGATTAATTGTCGGACAAGTGCCAGAGATGTTGAACTCTGAAGACTGGAGGAAGAGACATGCGGCACTCATGGCTGTTTCATCAGCTGGAGAAGGCTGTCACAAGCAAATGGAACAGATGCTAGAACAAGTTGTATCTGCAGTTCTCACATATCTTACTGACCCTGTAAGTTTTAACCTTACATTTTAACCTTAGTTTGTGATAAGATTTTATAGTAGTTTTATAGTTTTGCTTAAAATTCATATTCTTGATATATTTTCAACTAAATAACAATTTTTCGTAGCATCCCCGTGTGCGGTATGCAGCTTGTAATGCAATTGGACAAATGTCAACAGACTTTGCCCCAGTTTTTGAAAAGAAATTCCATAGCAAAGTGGTGCCTGGTCTTCTGTTAGTTCTGGATGATAATGCCAATCCCCGAGTGCAGGTACTTGACTTTTATTGAGTAGTTAAAATAGCTTTTTTTTTTGTAGTTTTGTACATTTTGTATTTATATTTCTTAGGCCCACGCTGCCGCCGCATTGGTTAACTTCAGTGAGGATTGCCCTAAACCTATTCTGACGCAATATCTTGGTCCTTTGATGAATAAGCTTGAAGTAATATTGACTACCAAATTCAAAGAGGTGAGATGAGAATTATATGAATTTATTTTGTTGTTTTATTGTTGTATTTTGGCAGCTAAACTAAAAAGATCTATTAATACTGATTATAGTATAATAACTCTTTTAAGTTTAGTATCTTTGAATTTGTATTTAATTGCATTTATGTACAAACAATATGATATCAAAAAAATTATGAAATTTTAATGAAGAAACTTAAAATTTTTCTTTTATATCTGCACACTGCACATATTTGTTTAATAACCACTAAACATCAAAATGACCACATGATTATTTTACACTGCTTAGTAAGAACTGATGGTGATTTTGATTTACCTAATAATACCCAATGTTCGTTAGTGACAAAATTATTTTTTGAATTTGTTACTTCCATAACATTGGAAGAATAATTTGTGTCAATTGCTCCCTTTCTTTCTGGTCTATAGGAAGTCAGGGATCTCAGTTCACATACATTGTAGTAAGTTCTAAATCATATTGTAAATGACCCAAATCTATGAGAAACATCATAGGTTTTTATTTTTTCCAGTTGGTAGAACGTGGCACCAAGCTTGTGCTTGAACAGATTGTAACTACAATTGCCTCTGTAGCAGACACTGTGGAAAAAGATTTCGTGCAGTATTACGACCGTTTAATGCCCTGCCTGAAATATATTATTGCTAATGCCACTACAGAAGAACTGAAGACACTCCGTGGCAAAACAATTGAATGTGTCAGTTTGATAGGTTAGACAATTTACTACTAAAGTTGCCATCATGATAACAGTCAGACACTTGAAAAATTAACTTTCTAAAATGTATTTAAAAATGTGAAACTTTATAACTCATTAGTTTTAACTGATTTTGTACTAAATTTTTGATAATTTTCGTTCTAGAGTCATGAAATGTTAGGTATTAAAAATAATTTTTTTGTATATCTATAACTGCCTTATTTGGTGGCACTAAAAAGGGCAGAATAATTAGTTATTCATGAACAAATTTAATTTTAGAAACTGTATTTTAATTCAAAATTTTACAAATTCATAGCAAAAACTACTTCATAAATTTACTCTTAGGGTTGGCTGTTGGTGAAGAGAAATTTATGTCAGACGCTTCAGAAGTGATGGATCTTTTGTTGAAGACACATACTGAGGGAGAACAACTGCCACCTGATGACCCACAAACATCATTTCTTATATCTGCCTGGTCCCGTATATGCAGAATTATGGGTAAGAAAGATTTTTTATCAAATAAATATTGACCTGTACCTATGTACACTGTGACATGTAAATGTTTTTGCTGTCTATTGTATAACATTTTGCCCTTTTTACAGGTTACAGACATTAATTAAATTTTACATGTATTATATACATTTAAAAACAAACTCATTATTGAAAATAATTCTTATTTGTACATTTCAGGCAAAAAATTCGCCCGTTACCTACCCATGGTTATGGAACCAGTCATGCGTACTGCAGCTATGAAGCCAGAAGTTGCATTGTTAGACAATGATGAAATTAAGAGTATTGAGAGTGACCTTGATTGGCATTTTGTCACTCTTGGTGAACAACAGAACTTTGGCATCAAAACAGCAGGTAAAGAAACTTCTTTTAAACATGATAATGTTTGTTACTCTTAATCCACATGTATATGGTCACAATTCTGCTTTTTAAAAACTGGTTGTCACAAAAAGGTTTATATACAGCATTACAGTGCCATTGCTAGCTAAATAATGACTTGACATACATTGATAAGTCATGACTCCTTGTTTTGTCTCTGACTATAGTTCTTATAATTTTCTTCAGGTCTTGAAGATAAGGCATCTGCTTGTGACATGCTTGTATGTTACGCACGGGAACTTAAGGAAGCATTCGCTGACTATGCTGAAGAAGTAGTCAAGCTAATGGTACCCATGCTGAAGTTTTATTTCCACGACAATGTGCGCACTGCGGCAGCAGAGTCCCTGCCTTACCTGTTGGAATGTGCCCGTACAAGAGGACCTCAGTACATCCAGGGAATGTGGGCATACATACTACCTGAACTTCTCAAAGCAATTGATTCTGAACCAGAACAGGAAGTGCAGGTGGAACTCCTTAACAGTTTGGCAAAGGTATTATATTATTATGTCCTTCATTTTAAAGACAAGGGATACAATTTAGTAGGGAAACAATAGATACCTGGTCTCTACAAATATAGTAAAAATCTTATTTTGTGATATGAAATGTATAAAATACTTTAATTTTTGATCCTTGTTCCATCATTATGAACCTATTTCTTTACATAATGTATTTTTATAGTGTATTGAACTATTGGGAACTGGCTGTTTAACCGATGAGACTATGGCAGAAGTGCTACGGATCCTTAACAAACTTCTTACTGAACATTTCGAACGCGCTACCGAACGCCGTCAGAAACGTGCTGACGAAGATTATGATGAGGTATTATAACTTAACAATTAATATTTGCTCTTATAAAAACATATTTTAAAAATAAATATATAAAACATCCTTTTATCAAAATAAAACTTAATTAACGACTGCTTTAACAGGTTGTAGAAGAACAACTAGCTGATGAAGATAATGAAGATGTATATGGTTTGTCTAGGGTGGCTGATGTGTTGCATGCCCTCATGTCTGCTTATCGTGAAAACTTTTTCCCCCATCTCGACTCTCTATTGCCACATCTTGTTCAGCTTCTGGCCCCAGGAAGACCGTATGCCGATAGACAATGGGCAATTTGCATTTTTGATGATGTTATTGAATTTGGAGGTGAGTAAAATTAAACTTTTCATGCATACAAATGAACTTGTGTGCGTGTTAATGATCGCGCGTAAACTAAATGAGTTGCGTATAAATCACGAACTTTTTGAGACAAGTTCAAATGAATGTTATTAATTACTTGCGAGTGATTTAAAATATTTTTAATTTTTTATATAACAATATTTACGTCTAGAATTTAATTAAAAAAATGGATACACTTAGAAAAGCTTCCTGCAGTATAATTTTACAGATTTTTTTTTTTCATCTTATTGTGACTAAGCCACACCATCAATATAAGGAATATTGGCGTTCCGTTCAAGGGCCCGCATGCGTGAAGTACCAAGACATATTCCTGGAGCCGATGCTGAGCGGGCTGATGGCGGCGGAGGCGGAGGTGCGGCAGGCGGCGGCGTACGGGTGCGGGGTGCTCGCGCAGTTCGGCGGCGCGCAGTTCGCCGGCGCGTGCGCGCGCGCCGCCCGCCTGCTCGCGGACGTCCGTCGCCGCGCCCGACTCGCGCACAGTGGAGAACCTGAACGCGACCGAGAATGCCATCTCGGCGGTCGCCAAGATCATCAAGTACAACCACTCGCAGGTCGACAGGGACCAGCTCATCACGCACTGGTCAGTCGCGCGCCCGCCTATTTTTTCAATGAAACGCTTCTCGGCCTTGTGCCACGTCCCATTTTGGTGCATTAGCAAAGCGCTGAATGTTATATACGTGTAGTTATAGATTAATACTAGCGACCCGCTCCAGCTTCGCACGGGTTTAATGCATTATACATATAAACCTTCCTCTTGAATCACACTATCTAGTAAAAAAAACGCAAAAGATCCGTTGCGTAGTTTTAAAGATCTGAGCATACATAGGGACAGACAGACAGCTGGACCACTTTGTTTTATACTATGTAGTGATAAGAGAGCCGAGTAGTTTGACTTTTTAGCATTGAGATTTGTAGCTGCATGTACAAGTAAAACAACTGTTTTTCACAATTTCCCCAACTTGTTATTTATAGGTTAACATGGTTACCAGTGGTTGAAGACGTTGAAGAAGCGCCACATGTATACTCACTCCTTTGCGAGTTGGCAGCGAGTGGACACGCAGCTTTGGCGACGCCTGATGCGCCGCAGAGGGTCATAGCAACGCTTGCAGAGGCCTTCCTGCGTGACGCCGTGCCAACTGACAACCCAGTATATGGGCAGATGGTCACACTTGTTCGCCAAATACAGGTGATATTTTAATCAGTTTCATCATTTAATGTTATACATACTACTTTGGAGAGTAACTTTAAATATTTAATGCACTAATTCAATAAAATCTTCACTAGATTTAATGAATATGTAGGATTTTTATTTATATGCCACTACATGTTACTATTATTTGCATTTTAACTATAGTAATTTAAAATAGGCAATTGTATCTTTCCAGGGCAATGCTGAACTTTTCAACTCATGCCTTGTGCAATTAACCAGTGAACATCAGGAAGCGCTGAAACTTGCACTGTCTACATAATGAGCCCTGCTACTCAGTCCGCCTATATTTATTACCCGCCAAGCTACGTTTCGGCACGCGCTCATCCGTTGCCAGTCACTCCACTCACGATAGCCCATTTCCATTCATTGACCGCCTGTAGAACACTATTTTTATTAACCTTATCTAAACATTGTTATTATAACGAAGTTTAATAAATATATACTCTTTCTAATATTTGTGTGTCTCTGTCATGGAAGGTCGATAAATGGCTGGTATTAGAGAAGAAAATATACCATACATGTTTGTTTACTTCTATCCTTATAGTGGATTATTTCTTCGATCTCATACTCAGTTATAGTATACATTTGGGCTAAAATTGCTGTGATATATTTTATACTATTTTTTGAGGATCAGTCGTGTTAAAGAGTAGACGCCTCGTTGACGTTTGATGTCAATTTCGAATCATTTGTTTTGGCCAGTCGTGATGTGGATGGTCCAATTTTTACATTTTGTAGTTTAGTACATATACTAGTGCATTATCAATTTATTTCATGTTATTTTATAGGGATGGCAATTGTTATTATAGATATTTCTAGTAATTCTGAACACTGGAATTGATGTATCTGAACAGATTTTATGTATATGATGCTAAGTTCTTTTTTAAATTGGACCATTTACCAAAAATCTCTTTTCCAATTCGCCATATTTCGGCTATTTTGTGAACTTTGTAGCTGTTGCTCGCAATCGACGAGACTCTGTTTATAAGAAATAATTTTATTCAGTAAATATATATATAATGTTATATTATATATACATTTCTTTGTTTAACTAAAATAAAAGTTATTGACATTTATTCTTTTTATTTCCTATGTATTGTATCTTTTTCATTCATATTGGTATTGGGTATACAAACCTCTTTTGGTCGCCATTCTCTGAAACATTCTTTTTGTTAAATTATTTGAACAACCAATTAAAGAAAATTTCTACTCTATAAAGTATAGTTTATAAGTAGTAGAAAATAATAGAAATATAGTAAAAAAGAACAAACAAACAGTGTCAAATGGATAACATTATCAGTCTCACAATATTTCCTATCGCTCCAAGTTCCTAAATTCATTACGTAAAGTTATTGGGCCGTAAATCATTATTATTAGTCTCTGACTGGATTCGCACTTCCGAGCCAAAATAATGTGGCGTAACGTAATACAAGGGAGACTTATATGGATTAATAACACGAAAAGATTTAAGTTTTCAAAAAAATAAAGGAGCGATTGACATTTATACATACAAATATGTTCTTAAATTAGTTTATACAGCTGTCTTTACAATCGTGACAATAAATGAACACATATAGGGGATAACTTTTTAAAATTATATTAAACATTCTTTAAACATCAATATTTACAGAGTTACTAAACTTTCCAAAACAAAGAATTTTAGAAAATCCTTACCTATAAAACTAACGTGAAGTTCATTTGTAAAGGTCACAAAGCATACGAATGGGCTAACGTGAAGTTCATTTGTAAAGGTCACAAAGCATATGAATGGGTTGAATGAATTTAAAAGAGACAAAACATACTGTTAGAAGGAGAGGCTTTTTTTTTTTTTTTTTTTTTTATGGGAAAAAAAGCAGCAAACGAGCAGGAGGCTCACCTGATGGTAAGTGATCACCGCCGCCCATGGACATCTGCAACACCCGAGGGCTTACAAATGCGTTGCCGGCCTTTTTACGCTCTCTTCTTGAAGGTTCCCAGGTTGTAACGGTTCGGAAAGACCGCCGGCCGCAGCTGGTGGTCCACAGAGTGGTTGTGCGAGGCAGGAAATGGCTTGAAAATCGAGCTGGTGTGGGATGAAATTTTTGGTTTTGGCGCGATGTCCGATGGTGAAATTCAGCCGCTGGGATCAATCCAAACAATTCCTCGGAACACTCCCCGTGATAGATGCGGTAGAAGATGCAGAGTGACCCAACATCTCTACGCATAGCCAAAGGATCAAGCTGATCGGAAAGACCTTGATCGTCGATAACTCTAGCTGCCCTACGTTGGATGCGGTCAAATGGAAGAAGCTGGTAACAGGGGGCTCCCGCCCAGAGGTGAGAGCAGTACTCCATGTGGGGCCGAATTTGCGCCTTATAAAGGTTTAGGCGTTGAGCCGACGTGAAGTACTGTCTCGCCTTGCTGAGCACACCGAGCTTCTTTGAGGCCAATTTGGCCTTACTTTCCAATACGACGCTGTGGCGCGAGTTGTATAGGTGTTACACTTTTTTTTTTCTTTTTTACATAATTAGTTTGAAAAATATTTTTTTCTTATTATGGATTTTGTTTAACGTTAATATTTTTTTATGAATATTGGCAAGTAGCGTTAGACGTGTGTTCTCTCTCAATCTATTATTTTTCTTTTTTTTATCATCTATTAAAAAAGCTTTAAAGCAGCTTCGATCTCTTTATTCAAGGAACTTTTCAATCACCAAGATGCTTTTTAGGTTTGGAAACAGATGTAAGTCAAAGTGCTAAAGTGGTAGAATGAATTTGACGGAGAAGTAATTTGAAAACCAAATTCTGAATTTGAACCATTGATTCAACAGTTGTATTAACGGAAGCATTATTGTGATGAAAAAACACTTTCTTTTAGAGCAATCCCGGGGTTCACTTTAATTTCATCACGTTAATGAATTAAAAGGGCTTATTACAACGCCGAATTTACTGTTTCGTCTTTTGGAAGGTAGTCAAGAGATGACAACATTACGATACTTAAGTAGCTTAACCTAATTTCAGCCTAAAGCCAGATGGTATTAAATTAATAAAGTCATCCGAAATCATGTTTAAACCAAAAATGAAGATTTTTCGAAGTACAGGTGATTAAAACAAGCGTTCAATTATTTTCTTTTATGTAGGATGTGGAAAACGAACAAAGGCCTTACTGTATTAGCACGGAGATGGAAAAATGTTACCCGTATGTAGGCCCGAAAATAGCGCTGAAAACATTTAACTGCACGAAGTAGTCATGTATGTATATTGTAAATTCTTACAATCCGTTAATCATTATTGATTAAAAAATTCTACCCCTCGATGATTCAATAGCATTCCATAGCATACGCATTTGCTCTTCGCTCTATTTCATGTAGATAAATTAGCTAAGAAGTCGACTGTTGTCGTCTTTGCCTTACCCAAGATCAGGCAACTAACGAACGAGGTAATAGAGCAATATCCCAGGGACCCCACACGTTGCTATGTTGTTGTATGTTAGCTATAAGTTTTCCATGTATAAATCTTGATTTTTTTTTTACTCAGGGAACTAATTCTATAATTTTTGTAAGCAGCCAGAATTATTTGTTTATTAATCGGTTTATCTGAATAGTTACTGTTCCTTGTAATCCTCTTTTAGGATCATTTATAGGATGAAATCGTTAAAATTAAAATAAGTTACGACTGTAGAAAAAAAGATTAATTTAAATCGGTGACACGATTGGCGAATCGGATCACAATTTTGTACACGCATTATGTGCTCTTGTGTAGTTTAAAATTGCCGCCAAAGTAGTGGCACTCAAAGGAACGTCCCCGGCATTGCCGCGCTCTCTAGCTAAATATGTGGACCAATGGGAAAACTTCTGCAGTGCTCAAATCTTGGTGATGTGCGGACTTTTCGGTTAATCTTTATTATATATAAAAATGAATTGCTGTTGTTTAGTGTCGCTAAAACTCAAGAAAGGCTGGACTGATTTGGCGTATTTTCGATTTTAAATATTTGTGGCAGTCCAGGGAAGGTTTAGACAATGAAAAATTTTGGAAAAATTCCACGGAAAATCGAAATAGCAACAATTTTATTTTCCCATACAAACTGTTCCTACTTGTCAGACATTTTATGTGTGCGTTCCGGAAATTCTTTTTCTATGTGTTCAGGGAACCTAAACACATAGAAAAAGAATTTTCAACATGATATGTGTGCAACCGCAAACATTTTTCCGGCCCTACAAATAATTTATTTGGCAAAACAAGGTTTGCCGGGTCAGCTAGTATGAAATATAAATGTGGGGATTAATCCCTGTATGGTGTTAAATATCAGTAAAAACCTTTGATTATATACTTGCCTAGCAATGCGCAAACAACATGCTACAATAACACGCAATCGGGGCTGCCAACCATACTTTATATTATAATATAGTATAGTACTTTATTTTTGGGAACATATACTTTATACTTTTACATAACAATAATGTATGTGAAAATACCTTATTTTCAATCTATTATTGTGATGCGTAAAATAAAACACATATGAATAATTACTGAATCATTATCGATACTTTTAAGTTGAATCAGAAATTATGGTGCTTTTGGCTTTACTTAAAACAATTAATTATAGAATACACGAGAAAAATAACAATTTTTTCCCGAGGACAAATAATTTTGTTTTTGCTGTTTGTTACATTATATGATTTAACAAAAACATTTTTGGCAGGATATATTTTATCAATTTTTTTTACTTTGTGGTATTTCTTGTTTGATTTTTTTGAAATCTGGGTCCTAGAATTTTTTCCTTTGTACGATCAGTGGGTGTGTGTTCATGTATTTTCAAAGATTCATTATATTTTAAGAGCCGTGATAGCTTAGTGTAAGAGCCGTGATAGCTCAGTGTCCGGCCGCTGGCCTTTCATTACATTTATACGAGCAACCTGAGTTCGATCCCCGTTGCCAGCACTTAAATTATTAATTTTAAGTGCTGAATGTGCGCCGTGCTCGGCGGTGAAGGAAACAATCGCGAGGAAACCTGCAAATTTTCGAAATAATAAACAAAATTGTTTCGAAAATGTGTGAAGTCCGCCAATCCGCAGAGTGGTCGCGTGGTAGACTATGCCCTGATACCGTCATTACAAAGAAGGCCTTTGCCCAGCAGTGGGACATTTATAGGTTGTTACTTTACTGGTTACTTTAAATTGACAACACCGACTAACCAGCCTAACATATGAAATAATGAATTTAAATATTCCAATTATCTTTCCGTAAATTAATAGTGATTAAATAACAAAACTTACAATGATA